AATTCCAGGCCTCCTCTCTCTGCCTATTCTAAATACCTTGATAGCTAGCAATTTGGGCAATAAACACATTGAGGAATGGCAGCTTGCCATTTCTTCTTTTGGTCTGAGTTGGGAGCATCAAAAGGCCACAGAGGATTGTTTTTGTCATTTGGAAAAACAAGGATGACACGCATGACACCATCTGGAATTCATTCACCGCTTCAGTTTGAACATGTGCATCATATTTGGGACTTTAGATTTCAGCGTTGATGAAAACAACTCCTAAATCACACAGGTTGCCTATTCTGTGTCTGATTTGTCTCAGAAGGCGGAGCTCAGATCTTTATATAATGTCACACCCAGGTACAGAATGCATCGCCATGTTTTCTTTTATTCTGAAGGAAAGGGAAAATATCTTGCCTCTGTTAAGTAAAGTTCCGCATCACATTCCTATGTTATAAGATTGAATGTTTACATTTAATCGTCAGCTAATCTGGCTGAATTTTTGGACTTGAAAATCCTTACCATGAGTCCTGCATTACTCACACCCACATATGCACCACTGCTCCAGCAGTAACACAAATGCTATTTACATGTTGCAGATAAGACCCAATACTTACATACTTTGGTCCCTTGAAACTATATGCGAATGCTCTGTCTGCACTGATGAAGATTCCCTCTTTTTAGGACACTAGATGCTCAGAAATTTAAGTAGATCTGACAAAATGACCAAGTATCTCACCCTTCTACAACTGGACAATATAGATCTGCGCCTTTGAACCTGGAAAAAACATACTAGTCAAACCAGGGGAGCATCTAAAGTAGCAATAAGATATGATAGGACTCGGTTTCCATGTAGTCCACTTCATGTCCATTTTAAGGAAGACAGGTATGGCACTTGTAGAAATGCAAAAAGTTTATTCCTAGTATTTTTACTTTCATTTTTGATTGGCAGCCATAGCAACGGCGGAGAATGAGGGCCAGGCTAGAGATTTTTTTTCTTCTATTTTAAGAATAAAGTCGTAACATTACGAGAATAAAGTTGTAATATTACGAGAATAAAGTTGTAACATTGCGAGAATAAAGTTGTAACATTACGAAAATAAAGTCGTAACATTACGAGAAAAAGTCGTAACATTACAAGAAAAAGTTGTAACATTACGAGAAAAGTTGTAACATTACGAGAATAAAGTCGTAACATTGAGAAAAAGTTGTAACATTACGAGAATAAAGTTGTAACATTACGAGAATAAAGTTGTAACATTACGAGAATAAAGTTGTAACATTACAAGAATAAAGTTGTTATATTACGAGAATAAAGTCGTAACATTACGAGAAAAAGTCGTACCATCACGAGAATAAAGTTGTAATATTACGAGAATAAAGTTGTAACATTACGGGAATAAAGTTGTAATATTACGAGAATAAAGTTGTAATATTACGAGAATGAAGTCATCATACCACAACCTGTTTCAGAAAGAAAGCTTCGAGCACCAACTAGCATATGACGGCCGACCAGCGCCACCAATAACTAAACCTGAGTCCACTTTCACATGCTGCCCAGTTTGATGCTGGTGTGTTAAATGATTTCCTTATTCGTTAAACCAGAGCCAAAGTTTAACCTCACATAATGCTCAACATTCCTCATTTTAGGGAAGAAAATGCTTCTTGTAGTTGTCATAAAATACAACTTGTTTCTCGTAATTTTAGGACATTTATCTCTTAATATTACAACTTTATTCTCGTCATTTTGACTATCCTCGTTGTGACTTTTTTCTCATAATGTTACAACTTTATTCTCGTAACGTTACGACTATTTTTGGAATTTTATAGCTTTATTCTCGGAATTTTTGCGACTTTATTCTCGAAATAGAAAAAAAAACTTCTGACTTCTATGAAAAATTGGCTACACACATCCAGCCCTTAACATTACTCAAGTTGCAAAAGGAAATTGTTGCAGTGAGAACTTCAGGGAGGGCTTTAGATTTTGTTTAAATGCTTTTTTTTTTACCTTGTTTCCTGTGGTTACCTGTAGTAAACTGATGTCAAATTGAAAGTGTGTATAAATGTTAATTGATCCAGGCTAACACCAGCTAGTCAGGTATCTGTAGACAAAGCTAGATTAGCTGATCTTAAGCTTCTACATTTTGGCCAAAGAACTTTAGAATCACAGTCAGTATTAAAACCACATGATAATGTTAATTTACATAATCATAATCACCGTACTGCAATAAAAAAACAGCCACTCGGATGCAGATTTTGGCAGGCTATTATATGAAGTCAGAATTCTGCCAAAAGTATACAGTCGTAAATACTGGTAAGGGCAGTTTAATTTAAAACACGTGCACATAAACGACTCTACATCCATTTTAAATGTTCAATGCTTTAAGATTTAATACCATGAGGTCCCTAATATCTATCACAACCATGAGTTTGTGCTCCTCCATGTGCTCTCTTGCATTTTACACTCATATAAATCCTCTCTATGTATTTTTTTTATGTAGGCTCAAGTCACCTTTTGTCACTTTGAGTAAGGAACCAAGCTGAGAAACTAAACTGCCTGTCATTGGCGACATTTCAGGAAATCTCCCTTCTTGAGACAAGACTGTTTTCTTCCTAGTTATGGCGAGTTATGTTCGCAAAGCATCTTCAGGCTAATAGCTGTTCTCTGACTTTATATGCAACAGCCGTAGCTCACCACACATGTACGCCTGAAAGTTAGCATGTGCAGAAAAAGATGGCTAAATGGGGACAAGCACGTAGGACTTAAGGTAAACATATCACCATAATGATTGACAGTTAGGAGGACCACTTATTTAGATGATCCACCCAGAAATAAAAGATTGTTCTCTATACCTTTAAGAGAACAACTACTAGCCTGAAGATGGTCTGCTAATGTTATTAACACAATCAGAAAGAAAACAGTACTGCAGCCACGAGCTCAGAGGAAGCACTCATGCATGTGGTATATTAGGAGCCTCATGTGTTGAATCTGAATGCATAGAATTTTCAACATGCCAATGAACAGTAGTTTACATGTGTTTTAAATAAAACCGCATGAGTGTGTATTTTTACACATGTGCACCTTTGACACAAGTATATTTAAACCAATATGCATTTAGCTTCAGTGTGCCAGTAAGATAACTGGCTAAGCCAATGGACTGCTCACATCTTAGAGCTTTGGTTTCTATACTTTTGCAAGTTAACACCCCCAGCACTTACTTTTAAACAGGTCTTTTAACTTTACCAAGATGTTACTTATGTGTTGAAGCAATAAATTGCTTTTTTTAAGCAGCCCAGCCAGACTACCATTTTGAAACTGCTCATCTTTGGAGGAATCTAAAGCTTTACATCATAACATGAGGGTTAGGGTTTAATCCTTTTAACTGTGCAAAGGATATAAATAATTCTTGTTTCTCTAATGGCTTTATTTAACATTAACAGTTTGCTTCACTTTCCTATTATAATTGTCCTTGATTGTCTTAATAAAAATCCAATTTAACATTAAAATATCCTGTTTTTGTGATTCTAACTTTGTACATTACCTTGAAATTTGTCCATATTTAACCCATCTCCTTAGGAAGCACTAAATGCATTACCAGGGAAGATTTATCAGGTCTGGTTTATGCTCAGAAACCAGGTAATCAGATAGCGACTAAGGAAGGAAGCTAAGAAAGGAGGCGTCCTATTGGTCGCTTCTACATCCGCTCTACCCTATGCGTATTTCCTGTTTGGTAACTAATGGCAGAAACTGACTGTAGCGCCGTCCATAACGCCTTCCACACCTCAGACACTATCCCAGACACCGTGCAGGGCGCTAGTTTGTAGCTTTGAGCGACGGTCTGTTGGTTTGCACCAGAAGACAAAACACACAGCGCCACGGCCAGTCTTTGGGGAACACTCACGGGTGAACTGTTGGTTGTCCGGCGTTGGATGAGGGGTTGTACACGGTGAACATGCTCGTCAAACCGACACACGGACACCCAAAATTCTAGCTAGTTCGTGATTTTCCCTCTTGTATTTTGCCGTGGATCAACAGGCCACGCATCAATCAAAAATATCTGCATCATACCTGCAACAACCTCACCACGGCACACTGCTGCGGGACTATAACCAGCACCTTAGCCTCAGGGTTTGCCCGGGGCAGCGTTAGATTTAAACCAGAGAACTATCAGCTTTTCCCAAAAAAACAGTATCCTGCTTTAACCATGAGGTCACCACTGAGTGCTGTTACCTGCTGCTAACATGCTCCTTACTTAAACCTCAGCTCTAAAGAACAAACTAAACCGGGATATGCTGTGAAGCCAAATTGATGCACGAAGCAATAATTCTGTTCAACCATCTGAATAACTGATAACTTTCCAACAATCTAAAGATTTCCTCTACAAACTGAGATATGCCATCTTTCTAAAGCAGGAAAGCTGTTACAGCAACAGTACCTCACTTTCAGATTATCTAAACTAACCCTTAAGCACATATCGTTCTTTCTTCACCAACTGCTTGAGAAGACCTTGTGAATGGAACAATGTGGCTGGTGTTTCAGAATCATCTGTATCTTATCATAGCAGGGAGGAAAAGCCCCCTAAACAGAAAAACGTGGAGAGCCAAACCCTTTTTTTTTTCTTCAAAGAGCCTCCAAAGTGAGGGCTGTTGTTTTTAAGGAGCGAGGGAGGAGGGGGCTGCTTTCAGCAGCCTGAGCTTGGGGCTGGTTCTCATCATTTTGACAATAAAACTGAAGGAGTTGAAACAAAGCAAAGTTTCACGAAAAAGAGAAAGGCAGAAGAAAAAAACCCCGAAGAGGTAGGGAGATTTCCGCTGGCCTGTGCTGAATTGTCTTCTCTCCTTCTAATCCAACAGCCAAAGAGGGGTAGAATAGTGATTTTAAGAGGAGCTTTAGGGGGAGAGAAAAAGCTTTCGTGGCTTTATTCCTCTCTGGCACCCTGGGGCAGGAGGCCGGAGGGACCAAAGGGCTTGAAAGGGATCAAAGATGAATGAGTGATTGTGCTTTAAATTCCCAAAGGTTTGTTTTCATAGTGTCAGAATTTTATTGCAGTGCTGGGGTTCTTCTTTTCTATCAGATTTGTTTTATTCACATACTGAGAAACAATACTGCGCTTATTTCAGGCACTTCACTTTTGCTTTCTGGAAATGTCAAACACCTCCATTTGACAGGAGTGCATGCTTTGATCAGTTTCTTTTTTTTAAACCTTTATATGTATTTAAAGATACAACTGTACATTTTTCTTTACATTATGTTGCTGATAAATGAAACAGGACAAAGAGTTCCTAAAGGAAGTGACGCAGTAAAGGTCTGTTCACGGGTCAGCGCTGGCGGAGACCTGCGATAACCTTGGGTCGGAGTCTATCTCAAAACGATAGTGGTAGCCCTCCCAGACCTCCCTGCAGGCGTCCCGCATGTCATACACACGCTTCTTGATTCCCTTGCGGTTGAGGTAAAGAACAAGGAGGAAAATGAGGCCTATGAAACCCAGGACGATACCCAAGAAGACGTAAGAGGTTTGTAAAGCAAGGTCTGCCCCGGCGTCCCTTTGGTAGCATTCCAGAGTCAGTGTGGCCGCCGTAAGGATGGATGTGTTCCTCATGCTGGGAGGGAACATGCAGACGAGGCTGTCGGCATCCACGATACGGTCCTGGGACCTGTTGAGCCACAGTGAGAAGGGTTCAATGCCGCAAGTGCATTTGAAGGGGTTCTGCCCCAGAAACAGGGAGGCTTGGCGAAGCGAGTCCAACTCTTGCAAGCTCTCATTAGGAAAGGTCTTGAAGGCATTAAGTGTGAGATCAAGCTCCTCCAGGCTCTCCAAACCAGAGAGGGTGAGGTTGCGGATGGCCACCAGGGAGTTGTTGGAGAGCTGGAGTCGCTGCAGGCTGCTCAGGTTGGAGAAGATACCTGAGGGAAGGTAGACCAGGCTGTTGTCAGACAGGTCCAGGGTCCGCAGGTTCCTCATGGAGCTCCTCTGAAGGCAGCTGGATAGGTCCATCACCGATGAGAAGTTGTAGAGAGCTTTGCTGAGGTTCAGCTCCCGCAGCGACTGGCTGAGGGTACCGAACGCTTCGGGGTGAATGACAGCCAGCTGGTTGTTGCTCAGATCCAGAGAGCGAAGGCGGAAGAGTCCGGAAAAGGCGCGGGACTCCACCTCTGAAATTCTGGAAGAAAAACAGGACATGTAGGTCAAAAATGAAAATACTGCACCAAAAATAAGAAAGAAAAATCGGGTGGTAAAAATTCAGAATAAATCTATTTAACTCTAAACTGAGTATTTACTACTATACGGAAATCTGCTCAAGTGTTGGAGTTATTATCAGTGTAAAATCTGACAGACATGCAGTGTAACTTTTTTTCTTTATAATGTTGATTAACACCCAGTCTCTGAAAGTTCTTCAGGATTTTGACACTAATAACACAGAGTAAAATTAACTCTGAAAATCTGCAATTTAACACTCATGGAATGGGACCAAATAACAGGGCTATTTTCAACTCTGTATGTGTTAAAGTATGTTTTTTTTCTTCGCTGTGGGGTTTTATCATGATTTAAGTGTTTTAATTAATAAATATAAACTTTGTTTAGTGTGAGTAAATGTTTTCTTTAACAATAAAATTCCCGCCAAATGTCATCTTGAAGCACAAGAAAACAGATTTTTTTGTTATTCAGAAATATGTAAACCAAACTTCATGAATTTTGCTGTGTTAAAATAACACTTTAAAAGTTAAATATAAAACCAATTTGGTCCCACTCTGAATTAGTGTTAAATTGACTCTCTACATAGTGTATATCCAGGGACGGATTTAGGAAATTTGGGGCCCTCTGGATTAAGAAGACAACATAAAAAAAAAGATCCATTATACAGATAAAGAAATGTTAATAGAATAGACATACATTATTAATTCTAAGTTTTGTCCTTCTCTTCCTGTCCCTTTTCCTGTTTTCCTCTTTTTTTCCCAAGCACTAAGCTCACTTAGCTGATTGCTCCTTCCTGTTTTTCCAAAAAGGCGACGGCAAAAGTAAATAACCCAGTCCTTCTTTTCACTGCAGACAAACCATGATCTGCTGATCTGTTCTCCAGTTTTCATTTGGATGAAATAATAGCTGCATGAATCATGACAGCAGACAAGATAGAGGTGAGTAGGAGGCGGGGTTACCAATCTACTCGCTCTGGAGAGCAGAGTTCGCTGCTTTAATATGTTGTCGCCAAAGTCTCCAGTAGCAGAAAAAAAGTCCCTACATTTGGCACTAGGCTCTTTTTTAAATAAAAGCTCTAGAGGGGTGTGAAAAGTTGCTAAATATAACGACAAAGCGCTAGCTGGCAACACTGCTCTTCGCACCGTTTGTTTTCAAATGTTTTGCTGCTGTCTGTTTGGACCTTTCTGAACATTTGCAGCAAATGGACTGATCCAGTGTGGCGTAAACTAAAGGGGGGAGGGGGGGGATGGGGCAGAGAAAAACTTATTATAGACGTTCTGGTGGCATTTTAATGAAAAACATTATTAATGTGAACAAATAAGGAATAATTGTATTAACCATACATGTAAGTTTTATGGGGCCCCAAAGAACTTGGGACCCTAGGCAACTTCCTGGTATTGCCCAATGGTAAATTCACCCCCCCCCCCCCCCCCCCCCCCCCCATCTTACTCCAGTTGTAATGACTCTGAAAGTCAATTTACTTTGACACAACATATTAAACACTGTGGATTTTACTGTACAGTCAAATCATTGATTATATTACATTATTTTAGATTAGAAGGAAATGTTCCTGATCCTAAATCAGTCTAATTGGAAGTTTTCCTTTGAAAAGAAGGAACCCTTCGCGTTGGGTCAAACATTCTTACCTGTTGTTGCTTAAAGAGAGGTTGGTGACATTATCTAGAGCTCGGAAAGACTCCGGACCGATTCGGCTGATGTGGTTCCCCGTTATGAACAGATTCCTGGTGTATCCGGGGATCCCCACCGGGATCCTCCTCAGGTCTTTGGAGACGCACTTCACGGTGTGAGCCGCTTCCGAGCACTGGCAGCTGAGAGGGCAGGACGCGCAAAGGGAGCCGAGGAGCGCGCAGAGAAGCAGGCGGCTCATCAGATGCAGCATGTTGTTATGGATCAAACCGAAGCAGGGAGCGAAAAAGACAAAAATAAAAGATCAGACGGGGGGGAAAAAAAGAAAGGAAAAGATTTGAGTTAGATTGAAACAATCAGTTTTTCCTCTGACGCCCACATCGCGACTTGTCCCGGCTGGGAATGCGCCTTCAACTTGTGCTGTGTGCAGAAAAGTGCGGTCAGGAGGCTGGCTCTGATTTCCATGAGAACAGAAGTGGGGGTCACAGGGGTGGGGGCTGTTTGATCCTCAAAGCGGGGCGTCGCTGCTTCCCCCAACAATGCAGTTAAAAGGACCATCGACTGGTGCGATGATGATCTGCGGGGAGGGGCTTCTCTCTCCCGCCTGACCGGATCCACAGCATGGGGGGGGGGGGGTCTATTTAGGATTATATTGATGTGGGGTTTGTTTCTCTCAATTTAAGACATTTGCACTAAAAATAAAAAAGTGCATGATGGATTAGGAGGATCCACTATGACGGCGTAAAAGGACCAGGATAGAGATTTAATTTTTCCTTTTATTTCGAGAATAAAGTAATATTTCATGAATAAAGTCATAAAATTACAAGAACAAAGTCGTAAAATTACAAGAAAAAATGTCGCAATTAGAATAGTCATAAAATTACGAGAATAAAGTCATGACATTATGAGAATAAAGTCATAAAGCTACAAGAAAAAAGTCGCAACGAGAATAGTCATAAAATCGCTAGAATAAAGTCGCAAATTACAAGAAAAAATGTCTCAATGAGAATAGTCATAAAATTACGAGAATAAAGTCATGACAGTACAAGAATAAAGTCCTAACGTTACGAGAATAAAGTCGTAACATTGCAAGAATAGTCGTAACATTACGAGAAAAAATTCGCGACGGGAATAGTAATAAAATTACAAGAATAAAGTCATGACATTATAAGAATAAACTCGTAACATTACGAGAATAACCTCGTAACAAGAAAAAAGTCGCAAAGAGAATAGTCAAAATTACGAGAATGAAGTCATGACATCATGAGAATAAACTCGGAACGTTACGATAATAAACTCGTAACTTTACAAGATGAAGTCCTAACGTTACGAGAATAGGGCTTGGTCGTCATGAAGTAAGCACTTTGCGTCGCCACCATCTTGACGGCCTCTTTTACCGCGGCTCAGACTACTGCCCATGACTACCGCAGACTGTACTCCTTCTCAGCCGTGTTTTATTTTGATTAATTTCACCTTAACTTGATTTCAACCATGGTAAACCGTTGCTGTATTGTGGGCAGTAACAGCTCAACACATGATCGCCATGGGAAAAACATAGAAAATGGGTTAACTTTCCAACGCTTTCCTGCCTGGAGGCGTAACCATGCAGACCAAACGTCAGAGATAAAGAGTCGTCGGCTAGCTTGGATCGCAGCTGTAAGACGACCGAACATAACTTTCCACAGTATTCCAAAGTCATTGAGAGTGTGTTCCCTGCATTTTCGTTCTGGTAAGTTAAAGATGCAAGGTTTTATTTTATAGCCTACTTTGTTTCTTTCCTTCAAAGTTGGGATCTTTTACGGGAAAATAATAAAAACGGCAGCGGGAAAAGGCTCAAATACGTGAGAAACCCGGAGGGTTGGCAGTTAACGTTACTAACTACACCTTTGAAACACATAGCAGCTAGTTAAAAGTACATTACATGCGCGAGTGGTTGTTAGCATTAGCGGTTAGCAGTTACTAAACTAGCAGGTTCCAGAGCCCGTCTGATCACAGCTTACCTTCGTACGGATTACTGTGTTCCCACTGTTTGCTGGCTTTATAATCTGCAGCTCCTGAACCCATCCATTCGTGAACTGCACATGAGACTCCAAGGACTTGTAGCTTCGGAACTGTTTTGAAGTATAGGCGCTCACTCATCGGTGCTCCACTCATTGTTTGGAACTTCATATGGATCCAAATTATTAATAATGCTGATTTTGTCAACATACCGGTCCGTGGTTTCTCTATTTAATGTGTCCTGGTAAATTCCAGATCTTTTTCGGGATTTTAACATCTTTTTTCTCTCTACTTCTACGTCGCTTCTTTCCACAACAACGTATCAGAGCTATGTTTACGTTTGCGTAGCCGTCAATATGACCGCCACGTCCCACAATGCAACGTGGATCCCGAGCCCTATAAAATCGTAACGAGAATAGTCAAATTTACAAGAATAAAGTCGTAACATTTAAAGAATATAGTCACGACGAGAATAGTCATAAACTTACATGCATAAAGTCATAATAATAATAGAATAAAGTCCTAAAATGACGAGAAAGAAGTATTTTATGACAATTCCTACAAGCAGCTGAAGCTGATTGGTCTAGCTGGTCAGCCGTCATCTGCTGGGCGGAGCTCAAAGCATTCTTTCTGAAATGGGTTGTTGAATGATGATTTCATTCTCATAATATTACAACTCTATTCTCGTAATGTTACGACTTTATTGTCGACACAGAAGAAATAAAAATCTCTAGCAGTAATACTCCACCGAATCTACAGCAGGTCAGACACACCTTAAAAAAAATAGCAAACTGGAAACAATTGTAAATTTTTGAGGATCTGAAGGTGAAACATGGAGCTTTTTATGATGATCGTGTCCACGCCACGCCTTTCTGGCTCTTGGGCAGTTCTAGACTCAATTCTCAATTCTCCATTTTAAAATACAACTCAAAACCCATCTGTTCAAGATTGCTTATTCTCTTTAAAAATATCAATTTCACTGTCACAGCCTCTGTATTTTTAAATGTTTTTATAATTATAATTTTTATTTTTTCTGACACTTTTTGTTTTGTACGGTGACCTTGAGTGTCCAGAAAGGCGCCTTTTTAAATAAAATGTATTATTATTATTATTATTAGACAGGTGCCAACGGGGGCCAGTTAGATCCTGGTATGGCCCCTGTACTGAAGACATAATACTCAAAGAAATTCTAATGATGATATGCGCTGGAACAGACATGGTTACTGATTGGTGCTTTGGATCTATTTAATTTTTTTCTTTAAAAATTATTTTTTTTTTTTCTATTTAATTAAAAGCAATAAGGGCTAGGGTTTTAGCTTCAGTGCTATTGAGACAGGATCCCAGTTTTCATCTGCTAAATTTTTGTTTTTTTTTCAAAATAAATTGCTCTAATCCTTACTGCTGAATTTATCAGTTCTAATTCAGATTTTATAGAAAACGGTAATTTTAACTTAAATTATGTCAAAAATATTTTCCTAAATTATGAATGCTTATTGACCTAATAAGGCATAGAATTTTTATTTAACCTAATTGAATAGAAATTCCACTTCATGCAGCTCTCCTAATATATTTGAATCCCTTGCCCTGTTTTAATTTCCTGCTTTTCTGTGCCCCATGAAAACACGCTGGCCCCCTCCTGGCCCCCTGGTACATTTGGTCTAGAACCGCCACTGTCTGGCTCCACTTACAGCTATACCACCCAAAAAATAAATAAAAAATATTTAAAAAAAGATATACTTGTGTGAAAATTTTCAAGTTTTTAATGTCACTAATTCCAAAACAGTTATGAAAAATTAATAAATAAAAATCCATCCACTGCATTTTGTTTCCAAGTTTGAAGAAGTCATTAATTCAAATTTAACAACAAATTAAAATACATATATTTGATTCCAATTTTAGCAAAGCAATATCTACATAAAATAATTTGGCAAAAAAACTTCAAAATAACATATTTTAAAATAGAATACCATTTTAAAAAACAGAAAAAGAACAGGAAAGGAACCAAAAATAATCTACTTTAAGCTATTTATCATTATATCTGAGTGTTTATTTTAGTCATGTTTTATTTAGCTTCTTTTTGAATTTGTTTCCTATATCTGTTGTGCTTCAACATATGTTTTCTAGTTAGCATGTCGTTTTACAATGATGTTTTGATAAAAAAAAAAAAAACTGAGGAGGGGATGAACTGAATTAAAGTCTCATTTGGGTCAAACACATAAGGCCCAAAGGTTGATCTGATCGGAAGCATCATGGTTTATTGGCTAAAAGTTTCTTCCTTAAGACTTTAGTCCAAATGTTTGATATCCTTCCAGAAAAATGCAGGAATTTTGGTCCATTCCTCCAGACATAACTGGTATAACTGAGGCACGTTTGAAGGCCGCCCTTTGCACAAACCTTTCAGCTCAGACATGAAAAAAAAAATGGGTGAAATTAAGATCAGGGTTTTGTGTTGGTCTTTGAGTCACTAAAATGCTTTAGCCATTGTTCCTCTGGAAAACCATCTGCCCGAGTTCTCTCTTTATCTGCACCAGTAAAACACTATATTGATTAGGGGGAGTGGCGGCCTAGTTGTTAGCGCACTGAGCTAAGAATCCTTAGGTTCTGAGTTTGAGCCCCACTCCCACAGACTCCCCCTCTGGGTCTCTGAGCAAGACCCTTAACCCAACACTGCTCCCCGGGCGCCGCAAAAATGGCAGCGCGCTGCTCCCCAAGAGTGTCGGTTAAATGCAGAGAGTTCATTTCACCAATGAGAGGTCAATAAAATTCCATCATCTTATTATTATCATTATATTAATCTACATCCAATCAATCTGGATTTTCTTTTTTACACTTTTTTAAATGGATAATCTGATAAAAGAATGCCAAAAGTGCTGATTTTGTAATTCTAACCCCAACATAAAGATCATAAATCTCAAGCTGGGTTAAATAATTAGCATCATCCAGGACATATTCTATATATAAAAACCTGTTTAACTAATCCTTTAGTTAAACAAATCTAAACCAACCATCAGAAAACTCCTATATGTTTTTCCCCTTTATTCAAGGAGGTAGTTCGGAAAACTTATGAATGAAATATGATTTACATTTTAAAAGAAATAAAAAATCCTGCTTAATAACTTAAGAACCAAAAAATCCTAGTTCCATTAACAGATCAATGTATTCACCTGTTTTCAACTTTCATTCACAAAGGTTGTTTCTTCTTGCAGTGAAACCCGTTGTTATATTCCAGAAATATTTTAGTTGTACAGAAAACTCATTTGAAGGAGAAATTTGACTAAAATAGTCATTTACAACCAAAAAGGGAAACATATCAGGAGGAAAACAGGACTGTTTAAACAAATGAAATCTAAAATGTGTTTAACGTTCCTGCTTGTAGCTTAAAGATGTTTCCTAAACCGGGTTAGATAAAAGGGGTGGGGTGGGCGTCTCGGTCCCTGACTGTAAATCTCCAGCACTTTTAGGAGGAACTCTGTGAAATGGATGAATTTAGCGACGTCCCCTGCATTTGCACCTCCCCAGGTGGTATATGACACAGCTGTGGGAGGGGGGAGCCCAAACCTTTGATTTGTTCCCTCCTGAAAACCATGATGCTCTGTAGGATAATCTCTTCTGAGTGGGACTTTAAGCCACTTAACGGTGTCGTGTCAAAGCTGGGAAGACTTCCCCATGATTTTGACAGGAATCACTCCCGAGTGTATAAATAGAAACTTGAAGAGGAGGAAGAGGAGTCGTCATCCTCCAGGGGGACAGCTCTGATGAAACACAGTCCTCATAATTCAATGATGGAGAGGGGGAGAAAAAAAGAAGGCCCACACATGGCTACAATAATAGAGATCTTTATCCGTGTTTTAGTTGTAAGTCATGAGTTCATACAGTCGCTTTCAACATTTTGAAGAATTCCCAGCAGCCACGTGATCTGCAGCATGAAAGATAACTGGAGAAGCAGCTGGATAAAAGACTCATGTGAAGCATGTGTGTGGATAGTGGCACTAATAACGCCAGCCTGACTGTCTTTTGTCAGCAGACTGAATCGGCGGGGCCGCAGGTTTCCACATTCCTGGACTTGGCTCCTGGATACAAAAAGGCACCCCAGCAGGAAACACCTAACACCGCTTTCAATGATCTCCATCATGCATCGCATTCCTGTGCAGGAAACTTCTCACAAACAACCTGCTTCTGTTCTGTTCGATGCACGACAGGCAGTGATCAGAAGGCCATGGATGTTTATTCCCTCTGATAGCATCGTTTATAAGGAAGCACACTTTGACTGAAATGGAAATAAAATAATCCGATATTATAATCCCGACCCTGAGCATGAAAGCGAGGTATCCCGACTTTTTTAAACTGGCTTTGCTTACAATCTTCTAACCAACATAAAGGGTAGCAGTTTGGCTTTCAGCTCGGACGTTTTGCTGCTTTGCAGAGACTATCTGCAGATGGTAAAACACCACCACCGTCTCACCGTAGCATTAACTCTGATTAAAGTAGTGTTTAGGTACACGCAAGGAAAAATAAAAGGTAGGGATGCACGATATTGGGATTTTGGCCGATATCCGATATTTTAAAACTCATGTAGCCAATAACCGATACCGATACTGATGTTAAAGCTGGACAAAAATAAGTAGTCCTTGAAATTAGCAGTTTTGTTATCCATTTCCGACACTTTGAAAAATAATATACTCAAATATATTTTCATATGCTGATATCAAATTGATTTTAAAAAACGCGGTATCGATCTATTTTACTTTCAAAATCTCATGAAATTTCATTGTTCTGGTACAAACTCTCGTGATATTTTGCTAATTCTTGTGAGATTTTGTTAGTAAAATAGATTGATACCTTGTCAATATATCAACATATAAAAATATGGCAAAATTTTGTGAATTTTCGGGGGATTTCGTAGCATAACGATGACATATAGCAATATTTCATTGGTAAAAGAGATTGTTATGGTGTTTTTAAATGGCAATATATCAGCATATGAAGATATTCGGATATTTTAATGTATCAATATTTTTTCCCTCGTCTTTAGAAGTTTTTAAGTCTGCAAAAAAGAAGTTTTTGAGGAAGAAGAAGTAGTATTATTTTTTTTTTTAAGACTTTCGAAACTCAGAAGCTGATCAAATATCGGGTTGAATATCGGTGGGGTGGCCGATGTCCGATATTCAGTTTTAAGGCCGATACAGGCCGATACCGATAGGGGGCCGATTATATCGTGCATCCCTAAATAAAAAGTTCCAGAAAAGAGCCAAAAAAAAAAAAAAACATGTAAACCTTTAACTTTTTAAATTTTTTCACTTTACAATCAAAAATATCAAGAGTATTATATAATAAGATGTCATATAATGCAGCAAAGTAGGGAGACGCCTCCCCACAGCCCAATGCTGCCACCACCGTGTCTCACCGTGGCAGGATTTTACATGAAAGCAAAGACTTGTTTTCTCTCGCGTTGAAACCCGATAAGAAAAGCTTAAGTTCTCAGTTGGAAGGTGAAGAGGTCTAGAGGTATGAACATTTTTTTTTTTTTTTTGGAAACAAGGCACCGCATAGAGATCAATCCGAAGCCAAAAGCAAAAGATAAAGAACTCTCCATTTCCATCCTTTTCCTGCATGCATGCATGCAACACACACGAAGCCATGCGAGTACAAGCTCTCTGCAAATAGCAACGATCAGCTTTAGGCAAAACTCAGCAGATATTAAATGCAAACGTGGAATAAAAAATACAATTTTAGTGTAAATACAAAGAGAACCTGATGCCTCCTCAAATGGATGGTCAACATCTACCAAAGCAAAAAGAATGTTTCGCTTAGAGTTAACCATCTCAGCACAGTTGGATTCAACTTAAACTTAATAAAAAGAAAGGAAATGTTACATAGATTTTAAAATCTAAGCTACAGTGGTGGAACGCAGCAGCAGGAGCGCCGCCGCTGTGCAGAACCGATTTAAAAAAAACCCTGAGGATCCTGGCTACCTGCTGCTCCTGGAAGCACCGTGCACAAAGAGGAGGCTTGATGCTCCTTTTGTCTCCGTTGGCAAACACTGACAGGAGCTCAGCATCCCCCCCCAACACACACACAGCCATGGCAACGGGTTTGGAGTGCAAACCATCAGAAGGACTCAACGTTTTCAAAAAGGCATCACTGCAAGCGGACAGAGAGGCCGTGATCAGAGGCACCGATAAAAGTTTGAGTAAATCACTAATGAACAAAAAATGAAAAAATCCGATCTGGTTTGGATCAGCCTGTTGGAAGGATCCACCACCGCCACCTTCACTGACGATACTTCAATCATTTCAGCGATGAGCTAACGGCACCATGAGGTTAGAAAGGAGGTCAGAAGATGCAGAATGTTCAGTAAACCCAGAGAGGAAACCGAGTAGAGATAGAAAAATAAAGAAATCACTCCTGATGCTGAGGAAGGGCTACATTAGATCAATATGAAAGGCTAGAAACTCATTATAAGGCAGCTGATGACATATCCTTCCATCTAAAAGCAAGGCATGAGTGGAGAACCCCCTATTAATGTGGAGCAGTTATATTCCAGCTGATGTTTACCAATGAGGATCAATCATTGAGGTAATACAGTTTCTGCACTGAAGTCATTTCCAGTGATTAAAAAAACATTCCTGTGTGGAAATTCATCTCACACAGGTCAGCAGTCTCTACATTCCCCAGGTGGCTCACATCCTGTGGCGTCACAGGAAGGAGCGGGGGATGGATGCTACGAGGTGTTGTTCTCCTGGCCCGGTCATCGGAGGTTGATGGCGAGAGCCACTGTCAGGACGACGCCCACGAGCATCAAGAAAGGCAGCCAGGTCTTCAGGAAGCCCACACAACTGGATGGAGAACAGAGAATGAGGTGAGGAACGCATCATTATAGCATCTTTATATTAGGTCTGTGGTTTAATGCATGAAAAGACCCAGAAGTGCAGAAATATTCTAGTTACAGCTGGAGGAGTAATGTGGCTCCTGAAGAAGCAAAGGCCACAACGCTGGCTGATGTTTTTAGCTGATATTCGCATTTCTCCTGTATTGCAGAGGTGTTCCAACAGAGGGTCCGCAACCCCTAGGGGGTCCACAGAGGTACTGCATGGGGTCACGAACATTTTAGTTGATTGGACTTTTTATTTTTTTATATTCCCCCAGCCACGTTTTTGTCATTAAATACACAATAACATGATTTTTTTTTTTTTGTGGCACTAGTGGCTCGTTTTTTTGACAGTAAGCTGACAGGAAAGGGGGTATGAGACAAAGGCCTTCGTATAGGGATCTTCCGCACTAAACGCTGCTCCACCTGCACGCCCTAACATAAATTCAACACACTGTAGCAAACAGATAAATGGAGGCAGAAGACGTCTTTCAGTCATCAATGCACACATTCAGCGACACACATGAGCTCTTTCAAGCTGGGCACCGTTTCATTCACAACACCTGTCCCATCAACCAGGAATCAGAAATACTTTAATAATCTCAGGGATAAATTACTTTCGTTGCATGACTCCATCTGTAATAGAGTGACTATAGGACCAGTTTGATGCAACACAATTTCATACAATATATATAATTAGGAGGTCCCTGCTCAATCTTGCCATCAGTTTGGGGGTCCTTGGCCTGGAAAACATTGAAGAGCCCTGCTGTATTGTATCTGTTGATACATTGATGCTTCCTCCATTTGCTATAAACTGTTCATGTTTTCTTTTGTATTTGAAAATAAAGTCTGCAGTTCAACAAAAAAAAAACAATTTGTGTAACATTTGTTATCATTATGTCATTTTATAAAGTAAATAGATTAGGGCTGCAACTAACGATTATTTCACAAATCGATTAATCTTTTGATTATTTTTTGATTAATCTATTAATAATCTGATAGCCAAAGGTTCCTAAAAGAAGATTTTATACAAAATTAAACAAGTTAAAGCTAAAACTTTTCCACTTGAGGAGTTCTGGATAGAGCATATTGACAGATGAAAACTTTTTTTTTTATCTTAAATTCAAAATGTTTATATATTTTGTTTACAATTTTGACATAATTACTGCTCCAGTTGGGTTGCTCTGTCAGCTAAAAGCATATTTTGCCGTCTCTATACTCGTTAATTATATAGTTAGTCGTAGGGAATCGGATGTTCCAACCGTTGCATTTCTGAATTCTCCCGAGTGGAGCCCGACTTTACACGAGTGAATAAAGTGAATGTGATTGGTCGATTATCAAGAGGGCGGGATTGTTGTGGCGGAAGGTTCGCAAGCAAGTTTCATTGTGGCCAGTTTGTCAGAAGCATCTTGCTAACCAGTTAGCAACTTAGTGCTAGTAGGTTCCCAATGGGAAATTCAATTGGGACCAAGTAGCACTAAATTGGTGACTTAGAAACGACGCTGTCAAGGAACGCTATGGACAGCGGAAACATGCAGGAGGAGGAGGAGAGTTTAGTGTCGGAGGTCGTGGATGAGTCTCCTCCATTATACATTTTTTTATTTAGAGGAGGAAAGCGGGGACGAAGATGTAGTGGAAGAGGACGCCAGGGCAGCAGAAGATTGGTTTGGTGTAGAAGGCTTCCAGCCGTACATGTTTGAGCCCTTGCCTCACAGCGCTGCCAGTTCTGTTAGCTCTACGCCTGCTGAAGACACAGACGTCCATCCCCGTGAACACTGGGACGGAACTCAATGGGAAAGGAAATTATTCTTATTTCAACCGTTGCGTATATTAGCTGCGACATATGAATCAAGATGCTATGACCGAAAAAATTTGATTAACAGATGACCTTTGATATATGATTGGCCGAATTTAGGTGTTCAGGCTGACGTAGAACTAACTGGCCGGCAGAAGATAACGAAAACCCCCCACAGATTTTAAGATTTTTCAAATTTTGGGACAATATGGTCTGATAAAGAGTACGTTTATACACACGTTTAAGCCAGAATGATTTGACATTTAAATGACTTCCCTACGACTTTGAAGATTAATTGATTACTTATTTAGTTGATGGTAATTTAAATAATTGATAAACCACGATTAATCCGATAAATTGTTTCAGGCCTAAAATAGAGGAAGAAAAAGTGATATTGGCTGTAAGAATCGGCCCAGAAATATTGGTTGGGCTGATGTCAAAATAATCAACATCGGCCTTAAAGAAAACTTGATCGTCGATCTCGATTTAAAACTTTGACAGAAGATCAAACGTTTAAACCGGTGTGTTCACACAGCGCTTTGCTAAGGTTTCACAGCAGTTTGCGTTTCCTTTCAGCTGTCAGGTTCACCGACTCCCAACCTAACCAAACTCACAGTAACTTGAGATTTAGACATTTTTTATCTGGAAGCTTTCTTCTAGTTCCTTCCTCTGGCCGGTGTCAGTTCAGCATACGCCATCAGGGTAACAAACACTTAGCACAAATTTAAGAGAATAACATACAGCAAGACCTCTAGGCTACTTTATTATTGCGTGATGTAATAAACAAAAAATTGTAGTCAGAGGTAAACAGAATTTAAAGCTAAACTGCTTTCACTACTACACACCCTGACGTAGCAGCTGACCTTACCGTGAACTGACGGCTCCTTCTGCACATACATTTATACTATTTGTATGCCACTCTGACGGCGTATGCTGAACTGACAGAACACTGGAACTGGATCGAGTCTTATCCTCATGTTAAGGCGCTTTCAAGTCCTTAATGGATGATCAGAGTGAAGTGACATAGCATCAGGAAATTTTGCTGGATTTCAAGATGTTTACTTTTTTGCAAATTTATGTTTTGTTAACCAATCAGGGGCTGGATCTAGGGTCTATCACTCACATGCTGGGTCCTGGTCAGACAGAAGGATGAAAAGAGTGAGCTTCATCCAGCTCCAGCCCCACAGCAGACTGTGATATACTGGTTGAACTGGGGAGCCAGGGATCCCAGTGCAGACGCCGTTGTTCGGCTTTCATAACTCTTAGTAAAATCAAGGGTGGCCGAGGTCAGTAAAACAGGAAACAGTTAGCGGATCGACACTCTCCTATTTGATGATGAGGCAGAGCGAGCTGGTCTGAGGTTCACCGCAGCCTCTGGGTGAAATAGAGGAGAGAGATGCGGATGGCCGTGTGACCAACATCTTTGCCTCGGTGTGAATGAAACTTTGTGGTTAAAAGAAGCAAAGCTTCAATTTCAATAGTGAAATGGGTTCAATTCTAGATTATGGTTTGTGTGAATCATGGATTTAAAATCGTAGATATATTCACAACCTGATTTCTCAGATACACTAATATAGACTTCCATCTAGATTCAATACACATATGGAGGCAATTTTGTTCCATTAATGTTGCAAAGAAGCTGTTTTAGAAATGGAAACTTAAATAAGTGCAATCCAGGAAAGAATATTTGAATAAAAAGAATGTTTTAACAAAAAATACCTGTTTTCCTTAGATAGAAAACTTTGAATCAATTTGACTTTATGATCTGGTGAACTGTAAAGTGCCTTGAGATGACATGTGTTGTGAATTGGCGCTATTAACCTAAATGAAATCAATTGAACTCCATCTGAAAAGGAGAAATTTTGAAAAAAAAAAAGCCATTGAAAATATAAAGGGATAAAATGTATGTAGTATGAAAAAAAAAATTAAAATCTAAGAAAAAGCAAAATCAGGGTTTATACAGGAATGATTAACTCTAATTTAATGATTTTTAATGATCTTTTAATGCTCTTAGAAAGAATTTTAATGCCACCAACAAATACCCGTGAGTCTCATGTATACACAGCAAATTCCTTCATCTTTTCTGTTGGCAGGCTGCAATTCTTCAATTTCCACTTTTACTGAAATGAGCATTTTCCCCATTCTCTAGCCTTTTCTCCGCAGCGAGCTTCTTTTCCGAACGTACGGCTTTACGATCAACTGGAACCGGAATATATCGCAATATATCGTTTAATAAATTGTTTTTATTAACTTTTTTTTCTGAATAAAGCATTTTAAATACCAAAATCATCGCATTTAATGAATTTTAATGCCAATTTAGGCCTTAATTAAAAAAAAAAAATTTATTTAATGACTTTTAATGATTTTTAATGACCCACGGAAATTGTCTTAAAAAAAACTTTTTAAGATTAAAAAAAGTTTCACTTCTGGATTGCATTTTTCATTTTTATCTACACTTACAAATTGCTTGTTACTTGGAACAATAATGGAACAAAATTCACTCCATACAAACAACTTTGCTGCTAATTTTTTTTTCCACATTTACTGTTAAAGGAGGCCTTATTAATCTTGGTAATAGTTACGTAGAAATATCAAAAGCCCCGCAGACGAGCCCCTTAAATAAACTCCTGATGTTTCCTCAGAATCAGACCTTTCCTCACATCCTCTGGATCCCTCATAGAACCTCGTTCAAAGGCCCCGTTTTCTTGTGCTGCCTTTAAAGTAGCAGCTGGACATCATGGGGTTAGAGCTCCATAGGCCTCTTAGAAAAGGTTCAGATGTTTAAAGGCACTGAAACTATACTGAGCAGTTTTAACACTGAACTCTTCTACTGAAAAACAGACCGCAGGTCTGCAGCAATCTGCTAATTAGCACTTTTTAATATATTTTGTTGTAGAATCTGCAGCATCTTTATGTGACGGATCATCTGTGTTGGAAAATCTGGATCAAACTCAAAGTGTCAGAGATTTAAGTGTAACATGAAAGGATTTATGATGAAAAGCGATCCGTCAATCATTGTAGATTAAAACTAAAAAGGGTCCCACGCTTTCTTTAAGGAAACAAACTCTGAATAATGATGATTGGCCACAAAAAAACCTGTGGCAGAGCAATACCAAGGAGGCCGTGCCTGTGAAGTTGAGGGAAATGTTTTAAAAACAGAGTTATGTATAAGCTTTGTCACCACTTTTAATGACATGATGGTACGTTGTCATTGCTTTTCAGTATTTAACTTAATTCAGTACAATGTGGAAATACAAAATTGGATGAGCTATACAATGGAGCTGGTATTAGTGCTGTATTCTCAAAGTATGCTGCAGGGAATCATGCTACTCAGTCTGTCCTGTTTGAAATTGAATAGCTTTCTCTTTCTTTCTGAATTATTTGTTGCATATTTTTGTGTATATATTTCAAATGCTGAAGGCTGTCATTCTACTTACAGAAAAACATCAAGAAGCATCTAACAAATGGCTGAAATTTAAACGTCTCGTCAATTTCAATTAACAACAACTTATCATGACTGCCTCCCTTGTTGTTACAGACAGAGGTTCACATCATGTGGTTTAAAAACATCCTGTATGATCACAGAGGCCATTCTGCCTGAGGTGAGCTTCAGTCCCTAAAACTGAATAAGACACAGCAATTACTAATAACATAGGTTTGTTATTAGTTTTAATAGGCTTGATGACAAAAAAGTTTTCCTAGTCCACCCCAGTGTTATCTGACATGACCAGGTGCTTTCAGAATGCCAATGTACAGTATTTTTTATACACACAGAATACGCTATTTAGGCCATTGCTTCTACAGTAAATACAGCCACTTCATTAAATGTTATACACATGTTAATAAGCAATAACGTCATTGTTTCAAAACTATATTTTAGTGAAAAGTGGCCAGTGACACTTAGTGGCAGATGCCACTGAAGCAGTGAACTTCTTTCCATCAAGTCTTTGTTACTTTATTAAATATTCTATACAGTTTAGTAAACAATAACATCATTCAAAACATATAATCTACAAAAGGGGGAATATAAATAAACTATTAGCTAAAAAAAACCTGTAGCATCCCCCAAAATGCGGCAGTAAATGCGAGATCTGATGAAGCACTCTAGTGGCAGCAGAGTCAGACTATCATTGTCATAAAAAGGGACAGATGGACCCAGTGTTCAAGGTGAGACAGTCGGTAGGAACGCTCCAAGCCGCTGTGTTTGGCAGGGGTGGCAGTGTTTGGCTGCCACCCCTGCCAAACACCTGATTTTACATTTTTGTTCCTTCAATTTTTATTTATCTATTTATTTTTTCTACAGTTTATTTTTTTATTTTTCTAATGAAGTTTTAAAAATTGCCTTCTTTTCAAATTGTGTTTTCCAGGTCACCACGTCAACGTTTCTGCTGCAAAGAAGTCGGCAACGTTGCAATTAATTAAACTCAATCTAAAAATAATGAAAAGAAAAAAAAAGGATTAAAAATATATAATCTGTAAAAAAAAAGAAGAAAAAAAAAGCAATACCTGGGAGACCATAGTCCTAGGTATTGCTCTGGTACTGGTAGTAAGACACTACATGCAAACTGATATTTAAATATTTTTTGTAAGCCCAACTAAAAAGGCTGACATGCAGAACTAGGCAAGGCTTAAATCTTCTACGTTTAAAGAAGGTCTAACAGATTTGACCATCAACATTTTAACCATCACTCTGTTTGGCCAAATAGCTCCAGCTCCATCTGACTGGATGCACTGATCAAAAATCGGATCTTAATTTGAGCAGCTGATAAAATGATCCGCCAAAGGAAGCAGTATAAAATAAGATGCACCTGAAATAAGATAAAGATATGTTTCCTTATTCCACTTGTAAATAATCTAAACCTTTTGCTAAGTGTCCTCCTGGGAGAAGAACCTCTGCTCTGCTAACCAGTATTTTTAAGCATGGTTTCATTATTTTCCTTCCTTCTTCCTATGATGCAGTTTTCTTTGTACCAGAATGTTTCTCATGTCTGCTCAACTGTTTCCCTCCAGGTTCTCTATTCTACCCTCTGGTTGATGCTCCCCTAAGCCTGGTCTGTAGTTTAACTAAAAAAATAAAAGGAAAATCAAACCTGTCTCTAATATATGGTTTTAAAAAAACAGGTATTCTGCACAAATGAAGGGAGCTAATTTCTCTTTACATGTGCAAAGACTTTTACATTATTGTGAGAATATTTCCAAACCAGCATCTTCTTTTTCTCCTTTACTATCAGCCTCTACTTCGTGCAGCTGTCACTTATAATCTGTGGAAGTTTGCAGTTGTGACCAAATGGGATCGGGTTTGTGGGTAAAACCCACTTTGTAGGCGCTGTACCTTTGATCTGACAGGATTACTGCGACACACAGACATGAGCAGCTTTAATCTTAGCATCCTGCTCACTGTGCAGAGATGCTCTGAAAGCTGTGTGATGATCACCTGGACCTTCAGCTGCATAAAACAAGCTTCCTTTTCTCAGAACATTTGGAAAATTTAGTCAGAAATTGTTTGAACCTTTACAATTTGATCCAGAGCTAAAGCAGAAAGAAACAAAACGTGCAGGGATGATTAATCCTAATATTTGACTTTTTTTCATTATTCAGGCTGTCCAAAAAAATGGCTGACATGAGGAATTTTCTTGCATTACACACTGGAAAAAAATCGAAATCTTGAGAATTAATTTTTTCATAAAATAAGTGTTTGTTCTTGGATTGAGGAGGTAAAACAGACATTTTGTCAACGGAACAAGACAACTTTAACAAAAAAACAATAGCATTGTCTTATTTCAAGTGAATATTATCCAATTATCTTATTTTAAGAGTAAAAATAGGATAAATACACTTAATTTAAGATGCTTTTCATATTTCTAGTTTGTTTTTCCAGTGCACTTGAAATATAAGTGCGTCCAAGTATTCCTCTGTCTTTGCACCGATAGCCTCGTCTCACCTGACATATTTCCCCCGGATAAAGGAGAGGAGGCAGAGGTTGACCATGTTCCACGAGGTGCTGTTCTCATACCGCATCAGGTTCAGAGCCATGGCAACATGGGAGTGACAGTTGTCACAGCAAAGGTTGTGCTTAAAGACAGGGGGGGGAAAAAAATTTCAATTTCTGCCAATATTCTGTAGAGCAAACGAGAAGCATAGAGGCAGAAGTGAGCTACCATCCTGTTCTTGTACTCCTCCGAGGCATCGCGCACAGCTGTATCCCAAGCGTTGGAGCCACTGGCGTAGACTTTGCTAACGTCGAGCATCCAGTACCTGCAGAGACGACCGTTTGGATTTCATCCTGTCTATGAAAGCATTAAACGTTCCTGATAAACCTGCTTACTTTGTTGGTCTCCCAAAAGCCATGTTGTCTTCCTGTAAAACAGAAATTAACTCCATCAGTCACTAAACCTCAATATTCTGTCAAAATCTGACTCATGGAAGGATGTAAACATCCCTTTTGGGTGAGAGTCATTTAGGATTGAGGAAATCTGAGCTTTTGCAGCTGGATGTTGAGGGTGAACCAATCAGAGAAGCTGATCCAGAAGCTGTCTGGTAGATAGGAGAGTACATACAAACTATAATCTCTGCTTCTAGAGAGCTGTTAGCATAAAACTAGGAAAGATTTGTATAAATTAAGGGGTTAAATTCCACTGGGAGTGGTCTAGCTTGGTTTGGTGTAGAAGGCTTCCAGCCGTACATGTTTGAGCCCTCGTCTCGCAACGCTGCCAGTTCTGTTAGCTCTACGCCTGCTGAAGACACAGACGTCCATCCCCGTGAACACTGGGACCGAACTCAATGGGAAAGGAAATTATTCTTATTTCAACTGCTGCGTACATTAGATGCGACATATTAATAAAGATGATACGACCGAAAAAATTTTATTGACTGATGACTGTTGATATATGATTGGCCGAATTTAGGTGTTCAGGCTGACGTATAACTAACTGGCCTGCATAAAATAAAGGGGGAAAAAATAAACACAGATTTTAAGACAACTTTTTTTTTTTTTAATAGAAATGTTCTAAATTTTGGGAGAACATCAAATAATATAAAGAGCACATTTATATACGTGTTTAAGCCAGAATGATTTGACATTTAAATATGATTTAATACGACTTTAATAATTCAAAACTTAAACAAAAAGAAACATTTCCTAATAAATGAGACCAAAAAATTAGAGCACATGGATGTAGGGGGGTCATGTGATTAGTGTTGCACCGATACCAATACCAGTATCGGGCGGGACCCCGGTCCAGCTCTAAAATGGTGGTATCGGTATCGGCGTGTACCAACAAATAGGGCACTGATACCATTTAGAGAGCCAAAAGTTTATTCAACTATTGTCACCCATTCTAGGAAGGCAATAAAAAGTTCTACTGGAATCACTTTGTATAAGTCTTTTTCCTGCTTCACAAAGGCAGGCAGCAGCTTGACAAAGCCATGATGGTGATTAGTTTACATCCAAGTAGTATGCAGTTCTAAATATATACGGTACATGGTTTATTTTAATATCTTAATTCCCCTTTGGAGCATTTAAAAAGTAGTTTAACTTATGCTCCAGCACAGCGTATCCATCGTGGCTACACTAAAAGCAAGGATGCTTTTCATCTAAAGCCACCAAAATTAAAATCTTATCATAAACATATTGTTTATCTTTTTCCGATCCATCCCTCACCGAAACAAAGTAGGGTCCAGCAAAGTCCCTGATGACTCCAGTCGAGGTGCAGATTCCCATGTGACCAATGAAGGGGAACAGCCATCTGGATAGAAGACGGAAAAACAAACATCTGTAGGAAGTTTCACAGCAGAGATCCATATTTCTGAGGGAATATTTTACAGGCAGGATTCAAGGCCAGCCTGCGAGGATTTAACCGATAAACCCCGACTCCATGTAGCAATCAGCCTGAATGAGTTTGACCATCAGAACAGCTGCATGAACACACAGTAACACATGCAACGCTGCAAAAAAAAGCCACAAGTCAGCCTGCTGCCTGCTTCTAAAGGCAGATTTAGATTAGGCTTTTTAGATTAGGTGCATTTTTTTCCTCCATGCAACATTTGTAACACGTGAAAGAAAATAATGTGAAACAGGTTCTTTTAAACAGCTTAATGTTTAGAATCTAGAGGAAAATTTACGTTATCATCCTTATTTAAGAGTCAAAGCAGAAGCAATTAAACATCTGATCTGTATTAGACCCTGTAAATAGTTAAAAGATCAAGTTTGGAGTTTTTCCTTTTTAGCTAATAGCTAGTTAGTTAATGGTAACGGTTGCTTTAAACATAGAACCAGCTAAATCTGAGGTCTATAGACACCATGGATGGATGGATGCATGTTACCAATAGTTAGTCCACACAACTAAACTAGACTGGAAATAAATCACAGAGCTAGTTTATGATTCCTAGAAGCATGTTCAAAACATCTAATGAGGAAACGCTCCATCAACGGTGGAAATTGTAAGAGATTTAATAATAAAGGTCCTGCAGAAGGTTTTTTATTCACATAAACACTTACAGATGACATTTGTACTGTTATCTGGCTTTTAGAATAGGTGAGTTGAAAAAAAGTCCATAATAAAACACAGCCTGCAAGTAAGAGGGAATAAATAATCTGGAGGGAAAAACGTAAAAAGCTTGAATCTCTAAACACTGGCTAATTTGAGTGACCTTCTTAAATATGGGAGGTTAATAAAGGATAGAAATATAAAAAACTTATCCAATAATAATCCAGACCTGAAAACCTTAAATCCAAATCAACTTTTGGGAAACTTTAGAACAATCGACTCTTTGTTGATTGTTGTGACGCCTTTTCTAAGAGAACAGCCACAGGTAACTTTTAAAGGCTTGTTAAATGAAATATTTCCTTATGATCAGGCTTTTAACATGTAACTAAAGATCTTGATTGTATAAAGAATCAGAAAGAGGGCTAAAAAATGGGTGGATGGAAGAACTGATGATGAACTGAGGACTGATCCACCCATCTTGTACACCAGAGGTCACAGATTAGCGGACCGCGGTTGGATCCGGACCCAACCTGATTTATAACATTTCTAAATTACCGCATGTTGCCCGATGACGGTGTCTAATTTCACTTGTGCTGCTTCTCCTGTTAAAATGGTAAAGCTCTCAAGATAGTCCAGCACCAGGCTGCACGTGATCCAAATTATCCAATGAGCTGATGTCAGTCTGGGTTGCTGCTGCTGCTACTTTTAGACACAGCAGGCAAACCTGTGGCAAGCCGGGCGATGGGAAAGAAGGAGAAGATGATGAGAAAAAGAGAGCAGAGAAAGAGTGGACTGCTGGAAGCACTGCGGTGAACTGGTAAGAGAAAAGTGAAATGGCGTGCTCAAAGATGACCCTGCACATTTTGAGTATGTTTGGCTCAACCTGCTGCTGTGAAGCAGGATTCTTCACCATGAATAGAATCAAAAATAAATATAGATCCAGGCTCAAAATGAGCACCTTCATACGTGCTTTAGAATGACTTAGTCTCCACTCAAACTAGGGGTGGAACGGTTCACAAAATCCACGGTTCGGTTCGATTCACGGTTTCTGGTCACGGTTTTCGGTTCGATTCGATACATGTTGATTGTTACACCGAAATTCCATAAAAAATTATGAAATTAATGAAAAAATCCCCCCAAAAATAATGGATTGTAATTATTTTAAATGATCCACGGAAACCCTGGATCATTTCCGTATGTTTTGCTGCTTTGAATTTAATCATCTGGCGCATGCTCTCTAACCTGACAACAGCCAGATGCATGGGAGCGAGACATGCATCTGGCTGTTGTCAGGTTACATGCTCTCTACCATCTCCAAGGGAATCAGAGGGGAGCAGACGAAGCCACAGTGGGGGCTGTAGGCTTTGCTTTGAGCAGCCGGTCTGGAGCGCAGCGGGGGTTGCTGACGGAGTATGAGGGATTTCGGGGTTAGCATGACATGTTGCTGTTAGCATAAACAAAACGTGTTGCACAATGCTTGCACACTGTTGCACTTTTATCCACAACTTTCTTTCCGCCGTCATCGTAGGTCACTCTAAATGCAAAGCGCTCCCATACAGCAGACCTATAAAGTGCTGCTGGCGCGTCTTCCAACGCCTGTTCTTTCCCACTCGCCAGTCCGACACAATTCTCCACAACAACTGATTTTTTTCCCTGCTACACCCGGCTAAGGTGCTTCGCTTCTTCTTCTTGTTTAATACTGGCGGTTGGCTTTGGTCGCAGTACCGCCACCTTCTGCTCTGGAGTGTAAACGCTTCCTCTATGAGGAAAAGGAGCAGCGCTTGAACCGAACGAAACACACGCGAACCGAACCGAGACAGTCGAACCGAACGATTCTGACGGTTTTCATAAATCGTCCCATCCCTAACTCAAACCCAGGTTTAAAGCCTTGCAGGGCAGCATAAAGCCCACTGCGAACATTAAGTCAGAAAACATAACAATAGTTCAGGTGTTTTTGTCAGTGTTGTCAAAAGTATCAACTTCTACAGAAGTATCAACTTGACCTCTTTACTCAAGTAAAAGTGAAAAATTGTGTGCTCAAAAGCTAATTAAAGTATAAAGTAACCTTTAAAAAAAAAACAAAAAAAAAAAAACAGCCAGATGCCACTATATGAATTGAAAGCGCAATTTTACGACTATTTTGAAAAATTCTTTGAGATAGGGCCAAGGATGAGGGAGGTCTTGTTGGTCTCTGTCTCCCGATACGCTCTCGCTTGTGTCCGACCTTTCAGACATTCCGCCATCTTTTTCTGAATCCGACATTGCAGCATGGCATAGACAATTCATGTTTACAGTTTGAAGAACACCTGCTTGCTTCTGATGATTTCCTTTAGCTAACCAATGACACTAGTTTTCACTAGATGTGGATGGAGCCAATGATCTTCATTGGATGGAGCACATGATGTGAAATAAATATTTATAAACATTAAATGGAGGCCAAGAGTAACAAGTAATGTTTGTTTTAAAAATGTAAGGAATAGAAAGTACAGATACTTGTGTGAAAATGTAATCAGTAGAAGTCAGAATTAGGAAGAAAAATAAGTAATGGAGTAAAGTATAGACGCCTAAAAAGTGTACTTAAGTACAGTAATGAAGTATTTGTACTTCGTTACTTGACACCTCTGATCTTTGTTAAAGGATGTGAATCAGGAAATTGTCTATTTACCCAACTGAACGATTGTTCTTCTCTACTTCAAAAAACACTTAAGATTTTAAAATGGAAAAATTTTCTTTTTTTTTTTATATATTGTTTTATGTAAAAAGTTCATGTATACCATGGAGGCATAAAAATCTCATCATGTTAAATTCTGTTTAAAGCAACATAATTATAATTTATATTATATATTATTTATGATTTTTAATTGTTTAACCCTGATCTACACCTTTTAGACGCTGTGAAGAAAAAAACTATCAGAGGAGTAAAAACTGTTTTTTGCCAGAAGGACAATAATAATAATAATAATGATAATAATATTAATAATAATATATTATGTATACACTAACTTTTTAACTTTTTATTTTTTCATGGAACGCCAAAATCAAATTTCCGAGCATTAACAAACATGAAACCTGCTGATTGTTTTTAGGTTACCAAATTCCTCACTTCCTGTTTATTGTTTTTCCAATTTACTGTTTCGTCATTAATTCGGTGAAATTAATTTCAGTTCGTTCGGTTTTCCAGGTTTATTTTCATAATATTGGCTTTAAAAGCAGAAATATCCGCTGAGAATAGACAATATTTAATAAAGCAAACAGCAACAGGATGGTGCTGCTAGCAGGCTAAGCTAGTCCCTCTGCTTTCCTTCACTTAAACTGCTCTTTAACGCCGACGAACTCACGATAAAACCGGGATGGGTGTCCACACTATGCAGTAGGGAAAGCGGCTGGAATCCGGGTTCATTTTCTCTGACGCTATGTGATAATTCTTCATGCTGTCATTCTCAACAGCATCCGCCATAGCCAGCTGTGGAGCACGAGCTTCATTAGCTTCTTAGCGTCAAGTTACCTCGAGTCTAGGTCACTCACCGGAAACATTTCAAAATAAATGTTAACAGTAGACTAATTTGGCAAACTAAAAACATTTATGCATATTTTGTTCATCTTTTTTATTGTTAGTTTATTTCATTTTAAATATAGCTTAGCTAAATATAATTTTAAGAAATCGCTACAGTGTAAAGATTATGGGATTTTAAATTCAAAATATTTTATTTTGAAAGGATTAATCATGTGTATTTTCTTACTGAACGTAAATTGATGCAGATAATACTCCAGTATACAATCACACTTAAACATTGCAAATTTCCTTATATGATCTAGTCTAATAAAAGAAAAATAACAACGTTAAAATAATTACATTTAAATGTAGGTAATATAAAAATAAAATAAAAATAAAAGTGAAATAAGATATGACTAAAAAATGTATAATGGTTGATTTTTGTTATTGATTAGATATTATTTTTAAGATATTCATCTCCTCAGCTTGAAACTACAGTAGATGGAAATGGACCATCCTCTCACTACCATAAGAGAAACCCTGTGTAAACAAAGGTGGGCAATTGCCATGTAACTGCCAGTGTAGGAGATATAGGAGTTATTGTAATGCTTCATACTGTCAGCTAATAGAGCAATGTATATATTTTTTCTTTTTTCACAGCTAATCCATCAAGTAAAATATTTCTTTGTTTAAATCATTCAAACTCACAACCAAAAGACCAAAAAATAAAAAATAAATTGATTCTGAAGAGCTGCACCAGAATCATACTGAAAACAATGCATGGGTTTCTGTAACATTTAGCAGCAATACAACATTTATACAAGAAGAAGTAATGTAGAACGCTGCCTAGTTTGATCATCATGCCCTTTGTGATGTCATTAGCAGGGCCAGCCCAAGGCATAAACAAAGTGAATAGCTTCTTATGATGAAGGCAGGTAGGCGGACTCAGGACCAAATTGTCATTTTTATTCAATGATTTTATTTTATGTGACAATTTGTTTGATTATAGAATTAAAAACACCCAATTTGGTGATAAACTGAGTTTATTTATATAGTGCCAATTCACAACGCATGTCATCTTAAGGCACTTTACAGTTCACCAGATCATCCAGTCAAATTGATTCAAAGTTTTCTATCTAAGGAAAACCAGTTGATTGCATCGACTCATTGACTCAAATGCAATCCCTCACAATAAGCATGCTTGTAGCGACAGTGGAGAGGAAAAACTCCCTTTAAACAGGACGAAACCTCCAGCAGAAACAGGCTCAGTGTGAGCAGCCATCTGATGAGGCTGACTGGGGTTCAAGGAGACAGAAGCAGAGATACAAAAAGCAACTGTAAAAGGCGGCCCCGTCCAGGAAACACACAGCCAGGCAGACGAGCTCCGAGCCAGCTCCCATGTCAGAGGATGAAGAGAGCACATCCAGCCAGTCAGAGAAACAGGACTACACACTATTGCATTACTTAATATATTTTAAATAGAACTTTTGTATATATTTATTTAGAAATTTAACAGGTTTCAAAGAGCAAATTATTCTACTTTAAATTTTAGCTTTTAACCTTTTAAAACCCACCGGGTCGCCGGTAAGTGGGGTTAATAATTCAGATTGCATAAAATTCCAGCTGTAAAATTTTTACCAGCAGGTTGAGTCATTGCAAGCATGACAGTTTATTTTATTCTATTTTGGAAAGACTGGATGGATGGTATATACTTATGGGATACAGTAAAAAAAAATTGCAAGAGCTGCAGTTAGTTTATTGTAGTTGTGTGAATGTTATCATCTGACTGATGATTGGAAGAAAATCAAATACCGCTTGGGTCCCAAAGGAGGCCCTGGTAATTCATCTACACAAGTTTCTACAGTTATCTTTCTTTTTGTGCTTTTAAACAACTTCTCTTTTCTGCATCTGTTGTACATTTATGCAGTTTGTAGCTTTACTGCAACAAAAAGGTCCTGGTTGGAGTCTCTCTGTATGGAGGCTGCATCCCTCTCCCATTCTCTGGATGCATCACTGGGTGGGTACTCCATCTTCCTCAGGGTCTAAAATCCTGACTGTCAGGTTAATCTGTCTGTCTAAAAGGGTCTTAGATGTGAAAGTGAAATAAAATACATTCTTTGACAAATTTTATTGTCATATTGTATACACAGAGAGTACAGAAAAGGACATTTTGTTTAGGGCAGCTTTTGAGACAGTAAATGAACATTTCCATTTCTTAAAGTGCAGCAGTGATCAAATGTAAACAGAGTGGGAGAAAAAAAACATGGTGCAAAAAAAATGATTTAATAAGAGCATTAATATATATGGTGAAAATATGCTGTAATTTTGGTGTTGTCAGTGTGATTCAGAGTTTGTGACATGATTTAGAGTTTTCTCAACAGTTCAGCAGTCTAATGGCAGTGGGGAAGAAGCTGTTACAGAATCTGCTGGACCTGCATCGGATGCTACAAAGCCTCTTCCCAGAGGGCAGCAGGGAGAACAGTCCATGGTGGGGGTTGAGGGGTCATTGATGATGTTTCGGGCTTGGGACACGCAACACTGGAATGAAATGTCTTTAATGGATTGAAGAGGAGCCCCCATGATCCTCTCTGCTGTTCTCACCACTCTTCTCACCTTCTTCCAGTCTGAGGCGCTGCAGCCTCCACACCACACAGTGAGACAGCTGGTCAGAACGCACTCTATGGTGCTTCTCTAGAAGGTGGCGAGGATGGGTGAGGGCAGGTGGGCTCTCCTCATCCTCTGCAGGAAGTACATGCACTTCTGTGCCCTTTTGACCAGTGAGGTGGTGCCGGTTGTTCCTGAAGTCCAAGATGATCTCCTTGGTCTTCTCCACGTTCAGGATCAGGCTGTTGTCTCTGCACCAGCTGCTCCACCTCCTCTCTGTAGTTCTGGTCGTCTTTGTCTCTGAACCTGGGGACGCAGTCATGTGTCACCCATTGATAGTATCTATAGATAGTGGATACTTAAAAATTTTTTTGGTCTTTAGTTAGCTAATGTGTTTGCATCTAGTATGCTGCAAAGTTTTCCCGTCACGTTGAGCTCCTTCCATCACAGCAGAGACACAGACTTCCTTGTGCCAAGAAAAATGTGTGCAGAAATCCTTTTGTGCCCTCTGCCATGAAGGAGCTGAACAAGCTGTAAATGTCACTCAGTCTGTTCTGCTTCCTTTCCCTTGATGAAGTGAATCTGCTTCTGCTGCTGTGTCTGCAATGAACTCTTTTATAATTCAGTTTTAATTCATGCCATCATTGTGTATGGCAGACAATGTTTTTTCTATTCAATTCTATTTTATTTTATTCTATTCTGTTCTATTTCATTCCATTCTATGTTAGTCTATTCTATCATATGCTGCTCTATTCTATTTTATTTTATTCTATTCTATTTATTTTAATCTATTCTATTTTATTCTATGTTATTCTATTCTGTTCTACTTTATTCTGTTCTATTCTATGTTATTTTATTCTATTCTGTTCTATTCTATTTTATTTTATTATATTCTATTTTATTCTGTTATTCTATTCTGTTCTATTTTATTCAATTCTATGTTATTTTATTCTATTCTATTCTGTTCTATTTTATTCTATTCTATGTTAATCTATCCTATTCTATTCTATTCTTTACTGCATTTATTGATCTCCACCGCCAATTGAAAATAAAGAAATGGACAAGTAATCTGTTTAATAATAATGAAACAACAAAATCGGATACAAACTTATCAGATAATTATTTATAAATAAAACTTATAAATAAATAAGTGTCTCTTTTATGAAATATACTAAAGTCAGAGACGATTTCTAATTGATGATTTAGCCTTTGTTCTATTTAATAAGCCTTTGCCATCCAACTTTTTAGATGCTGTTTGCAATGATCTACTGTTGCCATCCAGCCTCAATATGAAAAGAGCTAAACTAGACTCTCCAGTTAAATACCAAGGATTTTTTTCATGCCAGCACAGCAAGCAGTCTGCAGCAAAGTGGAGGATCTCCAGCTATTGAGCTATAAGTGGCAAATGGAAAGTGGAGACACAGATAGACCCAAGAGATCTGCTGTGGCCCCGTGTACTCCACAGCGGGCCCCATTAGATGTGACAGGTGATAAAGTGTTCGAAGGGCAAAAACAAGCAACTCAGCAAAAGTTGGAAGACATTGATAAACGAAGGCCGAGCGCGCTGAGCGGCTGGAAACCTGAGGGAATTCTCCGGCAAAATGCCACCTCGATATCTGGCTGAGCCATCTGAGCCAATTAGGCCGAGGAATGGGCCGCTCCATGAACTCCAACTGAAATATGTCTTCTTTTCAGTCAAAGGTTTGTAAAGTAAAATGTCAAGTGGCTGCGAGACCCCGGTGCGGCGAGTTATTACTGAGCCAGCCAATGACACGAGGGCCAAATCTTAAACTTCCACAAACATATCTGGAATTGTTAGAAAGGAAAGTTCTTTTATTTTCAAAGGGCAACAACAGAACTATTGCTTTATCTATTGAAAACATTTATTCTCATCATAAATTAAGTTTGTGGATTAAAATCTATATTTAAAGCATTTTCACCTTAGTAACACTTTATATCCCACTTAGAAACAAGCTGTTAGCCATGGAGCTGTATGGCCAACTAACTATCAAAGATGATTCACCATCATGGTATCCACAAATTCTGAGATCTTTTTCTTAATTTTTTTTATCTCAGTATCAGTTTCAGTTTAGTGGGAATTTTATACGGTATATATATATATATATATATATATATATATATATATATATATATATATATATATATATATATATATATATATATATATATATATATATATATATGATTAAAAAGTGATTTCACATTTGTTTCTACAGGTTTTGTTTCTACATACATACATACATGCATACACACACGTACATATTTATATATATATTCTTTTTCTGTTTTACAAAAGGAGGTAAGAACCAGTCTTGTCACACTGTGTTTTGCAAATCAAATTGTCTTCACTTCCTCCCCCCAAAAGTGAAGAGAACTTCTACCAAATCTACCGTTGCTTTAAGTTCAGGTCTCACCAGTTGCGTCTGAATTTTTAAATCTCCAATCCAATTTTTTCCCATGTCAAACTGACTGCAATGCATAGAGGCTCTGACTACGCAGGATAAGCAGATGCTGATCTGTGCAGATTTTTTTTCATGTCTGACTCTGTTCCCCACAAGTTGAAACACTGTCCCACATAAAAAATAAAAAAAATAAAAAAAAGGCATGACAACAAAGCAAAGCCTCTCTTCATGACCAGACTGCCATGGAGCATCTCAAATAAAAAAAGATAGAGGATTTAAATAGGTTTACATTACAAATATAATGGGAACTACATTTATATATACTGTATATACCTGGATATACTGTATATATAATGCTTATTCTTAATGCACCTTTTTCCTCCCTGTTTGCACCTTCTGTAACTTCTATGCCAATATGTGACGAGTGAATTTCTCCGCTGTGAGATCAATAAAGCTCATCTAATCTAATCCAATCTAATTTGAAGAAAAGGAAAATGCTGTAATAAAGGCTGAGGGATGGATTATATGGATACTGGATGAGGCAGAGAGGTGGGTTTCTGCAAAGTTTGTTTAAGTTTTTTCTTCTTAGAGGAGAGAGATACACTGCACTTACTGTTACAGAGAGCAGTAGTACCGTCAATCGTCACTAGGAGGTGAGGAACCGTGCTAGCCTGGACTGTAAATAATTTATAATTATATTTATTTATTATCATATGTATTAATCTACTTTTAATGCTAGGCTTAAAACTTTTCTTTTTGATAAAGCTTATGGTTAGAGTGGCTCAGATTATCCTGAGCTATCTCTATAGTTATGCTGCTATAGGCTTAGACTGCTGGAGGACATAGGGACCCCTTTTTCATCGTTCTGCTTCATTCTATCTCTATTCTCCCACTCTGCAGAATCTGTTAGTTCAATCTCTAACGTTCTGATCTCTCTGCTTTTTCTTATAGTAGCTTTGCCTCGTTTGTTCCTGCTTGGCTGTGACTCCATCTTGGAGAGAAATATCAGTTGTGCTGCTGCCATCAACACCTTTGTTTATAGATGTTCGAGATCGGCCTCTGACTGTGACTGGCTGGATGTGCTCTCTTCATCCTCTGAAATGAGAGCTGGCTTGGAGATCATCTGCCTGGCTGTGTGTTTCCTGGACGGGGCCGCCTTTTACTAACCTGACTCCGCCAGATGGATTTGCTCCGCATATCCATCTGGAAACCTTTTGTTGAAGTAATTTTGGGAAGGGGCGAAAATACTGGTTAGCTGATTGGCCTATGTTGGTGATAGACGGGCCAAATAAACCAATCAGATCAACGAAGCATATGACGTACTAACAGAGCGACGACGAAGAGGAGCCAATTGATAGATCAAACTCTTGCCGAAACCAGTCGGTAGAAGAGCAAAAACATCTTTTCCTCTGAGAAAAGCCTCCAGAGCAGTGTTTTGCTCTTCTTTCAGTGAAGAAATACTCTGTAATTCCGATAAAACTTGCTCGATAGCCACGCTAACGCTAGTTTCATCGGCTGAAGCCGCCGTGTTCTATAGACTGAACTGTCGCGCTTCTCGTTGCGTTACACCTCAACCCGCCTCAAAGCCAACGCTGATTGGACGTTCGTTTGGTGAACGGCTCCAAATTTTCTTCAACGGAGAGTCTCCAGACTGATTAGCGAGTGAAATCTTGAAAGCTTGCGAGATCAGGATGGTCTCACGAGGCTATCCTTTTACAGCTGCCAAAATTATAATTTTTCATCAGTGTGAAGAAAACAATAACTCATGGGGACTGAACAAAAATGCTAGAAGAGCTTTTCACATTTTCTTAAAATATCTTTTAAAACATTTTCTTTCCCAGTTTACAAAGATTTGCTACTTTGAATAAACCAAAATAAAATAAAAATCTGCTGGGAAAAAAGAGGGATATGAACATTGTTGCACAACTCTCACTGGGGCTGAACTTGGATAAGACCAAGGATGTGATTACAGAGTTCAGGAGGAAACAGCCCACCCATACTCTTTTAAAGAAATTGTCCAGAGCAGCAATCTCCTGGGGGAGCATATCTCTACAGACATAACTTGGTCCTAACATGCATCCACCCCCTGACCTTGAAAGCACCTCAGAGGAAGCACATTTCCCTCATTTAATCCTCAGATGCCAAAGGAGCAAGATAGAGAACATGCTGACCAACAGCGTCCCCATCTGGTAGGAAAGCTGTACTGCTTCAGACTGCAGGGTCCTGCAGAGGGTGTTGAAGCCCACTGGGAAAATTAATGAGACTCAAATAAATCACAGGAGGACACGCCCACCTGGTTCATGGACAGCTGACACCCAGAGAGAAAAACTTCAGCATATTTTCATTTGAATATTTCTAATTCTATGACAAGTACTAAGGAATTTAACTTTATGTTTTCTTACCCGTACTTTCACTTGCTTGTCTTTTTTATAATTACAAAACAGCTATATTTTGATTTTACTCACTTTTAACAGCAATCGATATTTTATGCTTTTTTATTTCTTCGATGCGTCTTTTATATTTTGTGCTTATAGATTTTTAATGGACAATGTTTCTCATATTCTGTAATAAATATCATTAAAATGTTTGATAAGCTTTCATTAATGCATGGCTATGACAGAGTTTATCCTTTCTTTATCTGAATAACCTGCTATAATGATCCTACCTTAAAAAACAAAAAGAAGCTGTCATATATGGACACACTGTATATACTGTATATATCCTATGCACCTTTTTCTTCTTCTCCTTTGACTATTTGAGCTGAAGTAATGAGTTAAATCTTCACTGTGAGATCAATAAAGTCAATCAATCAGCAAATTACATTTCAGCAAATCAATGAATTCTTCTGTTTTAACTTTGTCTGTTTTGGTTTATTGTTTTATTAATTAGACTTAGACAACTTTCATTGCCACATTGTTTACGCAGAACGTATACAAAGCAAAAAATAGTTTTGAACAGCTTTCAGAACATTCTATAAAGTGCAGCAGTGATCAAATGTAAACAGCTGGGGAGAAATGAATAATTATGCTGTTTCTTAAAAACAGCCTCATAGAGGATGACTGGTTTCATTTAATGTTAATCAATCTAATGAATTGATCATTTAGTGATGTCTACGCATGGGAGAAGCCAAAAAGACATAAACTTCTGGAAAAGTTGTCCCTCAGGTGTGATGGTTATTTATGATAAAAACTGAATTGTTCAATTTGTTAAGAAAATTATATGTTTTTATCAAGTCAGTGCTAAAATCTACCTGTAAAGACATTTAGTTGGTTAATCCAGTAAAAGTTATTTCCAGCCAGTTAATAAAAATATCTATGTTTGAATCAGGGTGATAGTAAAACCTTTAAGAAAGGTGATATACATTTAAATATATAATCAACACCAGGACACTGGTGACTCATCCATTAAAATAATTATACCACCTTCAATCTTGTTATTTACTCTCTTTAAAAAGCATCAACCTCATCAATGGATCAATGGATGAATCTTTGTTTTGAAAAGTGAATTTTAATTCTTATCTTAATTCTGTTATTCTTACAGAATAAAAGATTTGGGGCTTTGTTTATGAATCACATTACATTTATTTCAAATTATTATTGTTTCTCCCAGATTGTTTATGATTAGGATAGAGATTTTAATTAAACTTAGACAACATTTATTGTTATTTTGTATACACAGAGTGTATACAGAACGAAATTTCCTTTAGTACAGCTTTTCAGACAGTAAATGAACATTTCCATTCCATAAGGTGCAGCAGTGATCAAATGTAAACAGTGTGAGAGACAAAAAAGGGTGCAAACATTTTTTGTAGTGGATGCAAATTAAGGTTTTTAGTAAGTTTCTTTTAAAATACAACAGGAAGTATTTTTTCCACATCATTTTAACTTGTGGATATAGTTTGCTACAATTCTGACCCTATTGACTATATTCTCTAAAGCTTAACTCATCTAAAGGAAGGGTGGATTGTTAAAGATAATCAATATTGAACATTTGTACGATGCAATATTCTTTCCATTTGGAATTTCCATTCCAAAATAATGAATAAATAATAATAATACAAGTGGAGAAAGTTAAATGTTCCGCACTAAAAATAACAATTTCTCTTGAAAGGAACGACAAATATTAGCCTTTATTGGATATATTATTTATATATAATGTATTCCATATAATGTATATTTTACAATATATTAATATTTGATATATTTTTTCTAATTTGGCTGTGGAGCTGTAATATTTTTCATTTGTGTTTCCTAGAAGGGAGCGCCTTTTACAGTTGCCTTCTGTATCTCTGCTTCTGTCTCCTTGAACCCCAGTCGGCCTCAGCAGATGGCCACACACACTGAGCCTGGTTCAGCTGGAGGTTTCTTCCTGTTAAAAGGGAGTTTTTCCTCTCCACTGTCGCTACAAGCATGCTTACTGTGAGGGAACTGGTTTTCTGTAGATAGAAAACTTTGAATGAATTGACGGTATAATCTGGTGAATTGTAAAGTGCCTTGAGATGACATGTGTTGTGAATTTGCACTATAGAAATAAAAATAATTGAATTAGGAAAAAAAATTATATCCGGGTCCTTCATACTATTCAACTTTCAAAAAACCCTTTTAAAAATGTTTTATTCTGAGTGTAGATTACGTAGAGGCCCATGTTCCTAAGGTACTATTTCTGTTGACAATGCGGATGAGGTCAGTATTCTGGTTCCACAGTGGTGTTGTGCTGACTCTTGTCCTCCAGTTCAGATGGACATCTCCCCAGTGACACTAGAACATAGACGTCAGTTACCTTCCAGTATGTGTTTATGTATAAATTCTGTCATAGGTGATTTTGTTATCTTGAATTTTCCATGTTTAATATTTCAATCTTATTTATGTCACACTTTCATTGTTTGTTTGTTTTTCTTTCATTTTCTGCGCCTTCGCTGTACTTTTTAGTGGAATTTTGATCAGGCATCTCTTTGAACCGCCCCGGTCCTGTCTCAGTCTCACATGTATCAAAGTGTGCACGCCTGTTGAAGCAGTTGGAGAACGAAAACATCGCATTTGTTCATTTTAATCTCCTTCTTCGATCATTATTGTGGACATAATGAGCTCCCAGATCACATGTGTTGGCTGGGTGAAACGTGGCGTTGCCAAGGAAACCCCTGACAAGGTGAGTGACGGACAGTTGGTTCCTTTTATGGTGCCTTTTCTGATATTTTAAAACTCCAGGATGTCTAAATAAACCACGTTTTTTATCCTTCAGCAACATTAACGAATGTCGCACATCAGGGTTATTTGAAAACAGATAAATTTAACATATCAGGTGTATTAAAGTGATTTCCCTTCTGTTTTCCACCAGGTTGAACTGAGTCAAGAGGAGCTTCAACGAATCATAACAGAAGCCAGAGAAGATCTCGGGTGATCATTAGTAAATAAAACACTGATGTTGTTTATTTCCCTCCAAACACTGAATTCCTCCTTATTTAAACCAGGGAAGTAGAGGATGATGATGAGGAGGATGAGGGCATACCAAATGATGAAGATCCATCTAAGGAAGCACCAGATGAGGATGATGAGTTTGGTCCAAAGGATGAGAATGATGAAGAGGAGGAAGATGATGAGTTGGCTGAATATGGCCTGGATAAATATGATGAAGAGGATACAGGTAATGCTCTATAGTGATGAAGAGGATACAGGTAATGCTTTACAGTGCGTTTCTAATGTGTCCCTCCTCCTCTAAGTGGCCTTTTAAAGGAATAATAAGGATTTATTAAGGAATAATCAATGGATTTATATTTTTTATACCTTAAACTAATACGTTCATGGTAGGGTGACCAGATTTGGGTTTCTGAAAAGGAGGACACTTTTTTATATATATATATACAAATGCTTAAAATGGAATAAAAATGAGTGCGCTTCATCAGGCTAATGTACCGTAGTAGAAAGATTTGAAATAGATTTGGAGTCTTCTTCTTCTTGTTGGATTTATTGGTGGTTGTTAACAAACATTTAGTAGCATTACTGCCACTTACTGGTATGGAGTGTGGTTTGTTATGGACTATCACTAATAAACTTATATAGAAATTCTAAGGAAAAAAAAACAAACCCTCTCTATAATCAAATTTTATGAAATAATTTAGTTTTCTTTAAAAATCGAATAACAATTTTTATATGTTTACTCCCCAAATTCTTGCTCAAAATATCTAATAATTGAATCTTTTCCTTATTAAATTCAAACTCTCTCCTCATATGTTTTGCTCTCGCTTTCATATTTATGACATTTCAGTATAACATGTTCTATTGTTTCATATTTTCCACAGTGATCTATTTGGAGTCAGTGGACCAAATGACCTGGAAGCTATTGAATAAATATAAATTATTTTTGTAATAATTATTATTTTTTTAAATATACAAAGGCTTAAAATTGAATAAAAATGAGTGCGCCTCATCAGGCTAAAGTAGTAGAACAATTTCACAAAGAATTTGAGTCACTGGGTCACATGACCTGGAAGCTATTGAAGAAAAGTCCCAACTTCTGTCTTTAAAAATTGAAAGTAGCCTAAAATTGCATAAAAGCAATCTTTATCTATTAGCATGTTTTAGTATTAGTTTGGTCTTAGCTGGTCATAAGATAAGGAATTTATTGATTTTTGTTTCTCAAGAGTGCTTGGTTTGTTGACGGTCCCTAAATGCACCACGGCATGTGGGAGGAGGCAGCAGCTTAGAGACGCTGGCCGACATCGGAGCGCTTCAGTCAGATCAACCGTTTGCTAGATCCCGCTGACTCCGCGGAGCTTTAATATCCAATATCCAACTTCAAACCAACTTCACCGCCTTGCTGACGGCTCGGTGGTGTCGACCAAAATCCCAGATGATTTAGAACTTTCCCCCGATCTATTTTTTTTAGGTATATAAAGTAGGACATGTCCTGGAAATATTTCAAATGTCACGATCACTTAGTCTGGGAGCGGCCATTTTTGCCCAGATAAGAAGAGGGAGGATTTGCCATTGAACTTCTGGCCAGAGAAAAAACACGTATTCTGTAGCGAACATTTGGAAGAAGAATGTTTTCAAGATGACTTGGATAACAGCGCGTTGTGACAAACACCAGATACAGCACTGGGACTTGATCAACAGCCGATACCGCACCGTGACGTCACAAACCAGTAGGTGGCAGTAGTGTTCTTTGACAAACATGGATGCCTCCAGTAAAACACATTCAAATTAAATTACTCTTAATTAAAAAAACTTATTTATTGAACAGTTTGTAATAATTTCATATTTAAAGTACTTTCAGGAGTTTGTATTCTGAATATTAACCGGGCTTTTCCTTTAAAAGTTCCTGATGTAAATATTCAGATTGAATTGTTGCTGTTTTTAAAGTTTGAAGCTGAATTTTCATAGTTGCACTTGATTGTGACGTGAAGTGGAACTGAGACATAAAGTCTTAATCATTTTGTAAAGCCCTGTAGTGTGGCGTCTCCATAGTAACCCTTGTGATGTTTCTCTGAATCCCGTTCAGATACCGCCAACCTCGGTGACAGTCTGGCCGGGCTCACAGTGTTCAGCTCTAACGACGAGGATCCTTACATCACCATCAAGGACACAGTGAGCATCTGTTCAGATTCAGTTGGTCCGTCATGTCGTGTCTCCTCCCAGAGAAAGCTCCTCCATACGTCTCCATGTGTTTCTCCTCGTCCAGGACCAGTATGAGCGAGAAGACTTCCAGATCAAACCCACAGATAACCTCATCCTGGCTGGAAAAACAGAGAAGGACTGCTGCAACCTGGAGATCTACAGTAAATACCTCATCTTTGATATTACTCTATTAACTAAAAAAAGGTGTTTTCAGCAGTTTAAATTTTTATGCAGTTTTGAAATAAATTTAACTCTAAAGAATTGTGGGATAGAATACAGTAGTTGTTTTTTTTTTGCTTTTTATTTCCACTAATTTTATCCCAAATTTTCAGACATCCATCCTCTTGCCTGAACTACAAACCCAGGAGGCAGAACCAGAAAGTTCCCTCCTTCGAGAGTCTGTCTAACGTCTCTGGTGGAAGGTATCAGGGAGGTCTAGGTGTGTCAGCAGTGTTTCCAGGTTGGGCGCTTTTCATTTTGAGGGTAAAAATTGCTTTGGGCAGGTGGAGATAATTTGGGTGGGTTCAGAGTCAGATCGGCAGGTTTTTAAGTTAACCTATCAAAACACATCTCCCCCAATCATTCATCACCAATCAAAGCCTCCCTGACCTTCCTCCATCACTGATTGGCTAACGTCTGCCAGGCTGTTTACAACAGAGAACTACTTTAATGGATCTGATGTGATAAACTTTGTGCTGACAATCGATGCGTTCTGGAAGGAAGATTAATCTTTTAAAGATGCTGGAGGAAACCGCTGCTATCAGGATTTAGCGGATGGTGCAATTAAATATTTAATGCACCAGTTGAAAGAGCTTTTTCACAAGTTGCTCTGCTTAAAGACGAGTCCAGAAATCGCGTTAGAACTGCCGATCCTGACAGGCTTGATGTATGTGGGAACTGGACTAACAGGGAATGGATGAACGTCAGCAGCATTATCTCCTCCCCGACAGTTATTGGGGAGATTTCATTCAACCATTTACTGACTGTATTATAGTTCACCTGAATTAAGTTATACTGAAGTGTATTCATGTTCACATACAGGGTTTCCGCATTAAAAGTCATTAAATTATTGTTTTTTATATTAAGGCCTTAATTGGCATTAAAATTCATTAAATTTGATAAACGTGGCATTAAAATGGCTTCGGAAAAGAAGCTTGAGGCGGAGAAAAGGCTAGAGAATGGGTGAAAATGCAATAGAGGAACTCAGGACATGGCTGCATCCTGTCCACGGTGAAGATGATGAAGAATTTTGCCGTGTGTGTGTGTGTGGGACGGTTCACAAAATCCACGGTTCGGTTCACGGTTTCGTGGTCACGGTTTTCGATTCAGTTCGGTATATGTTGATTGTTAGCCTGACATGTTGATCATGTTGCTGTTAGCATAAACAAAACGTGTTGCACAATGCTTGCACACTGTTTTTATCCACAACTTTCTTTCCGCTGTCATCGTAGGTCACTCTAGATGCAAAGTGGTCCCATACAGCAGACCTATAAAGTGCTGCTGGCGCGTCTTCCAACTCCTGTTCTTTCCCACTCGCCATACCCACACAATTCTCCACAACAACTGATTTTTTTCCCTGCTACACCCGGCTAAGATGCTTCGCTTCTTCTTCTTGTTTACTACTGGTGGTTGGCTTTGGTCGCAGTACCGCCACCTTCTGCTCTGGAGTGTAAACGCTTCGCCTATGAGAAAAAGGAGCAGCGCATGAACCGAACGCAACACACGCGAACCGAACCGAGACAGTCGAACCAAACGGTTCGGACGGTTTTCATAAACCCTTCCATCCCTAATATATAAATATATATATAGTTATATTTAAGTCATGGGGAATTGTTGATTAACCTGACAACAGCCAGATGCATGTCTCGCTCCGCCTAGCTCCGCTCACATACATCTGGGACACCGCCATAGGAATTGCCTTTACTGAAGGCTGGGCCTTATCAAAACTCGTTCCATATGATTGGATAAGCCACTTGTCTGTCATCTTTATTGACGTGCTATTTCAACCACTCACACCGAAGCTAACCCGTGACGCTGTGAGAGGAGGAGCCATTTCGTAGATCAAGCTCTTGCCAAATTCGGTCGGGAGAAGGGCGAAAACATCATTTCCACCAACAAAAGCCTTCAAAGCCGTTCTCTGATGTTCTTTTAATGAAACAATATCAGATAGATTAGACAACACAGAAGAAATAGCAGCATCAATGCTAACGCTTGCTTCCTCAATGCGAGCCGCCATTGTTGTTGGAATCTCACGGTCGCTTCTCCACTCCAGGACACACCCGCCCTGCGTCCTGATTGGACAGACCATAAATCACTGGGGAAATCACTTTCAATGAGCGGGTTCCCAGATGTATGTGAGTGGAGCTGGGCGGAGCGAGACATGCATCTGGCTGTTGTCAGGTTAATTGTTGATGGCATTAAGATTATTTCTAAGAGCATTAAAAAGCATGAAATAAGAGTTACCCATTCATGTATAAACCCTGACATGGTAAATATATATCAATATATATTAACTGGGCGAGTTGTTGGTGTCTTCAAACTTGGAAACAAAGTCCAGTGGATTGTTTTTTTAACTATTTTGGAATGAATATGACCTGAATGACTGGGAAACCTCACCTGAAGCTGAGCAAATGTGTTTAACTTCCCAGTTTATACCTCGGAGGAGGACTCCATGTATGTCCATCATGACATCCTGCTGCCAGCCTATCCTCTGTGTGTGGAATGGCTGGACTTTGACCCGAACCCGCAGGAAGGACCAGGTAGGAGAAGCTTCCTGCTTTCTGAGCAGTGACGTTTCCAGCTTTAGTGGAAGAAAAGTCAGAGTGTCCTCTCTGTGTGGTCACTTGCAGCTAACTACGTCGCCGTGGGCAACATGACTCCTCAGATAGATGTGTGGGATCTGGACGTAGTGGACTGTCTGGAGCCGGTCTTCTCCCTGGGAAGCAAAAAGGCGTCTAAGAAGAAAAAGAAAAGCAAGAAGGTTTCCTGATTGTGGATTCAGACGGAACTTTATAATCCTTCTTATGCTGCGTTCACAGCCCCTCAGAGCCCTGGCGTATAGATAGAGTATTCATAACGAGTCCAGAACTTATGTCAAACGACAGCCTAACTTATGCATAACGCACGGCAGCTTAATGCCTGTGAAACGATGCACAAGCACCGCCACAGGACGCCATGTCTACCATAGACCTTCCATGCTAACTATGACGCCCCTTAGGCTCTAAACACGCTGGCTGTGAACGCAGCATGGAAGCTTCCCCTGCCGCTGATGGCTAAGTGTTTAGCGGCTGGTTGTGTTTCAGGCTGCAGCGGAGCCTGTGGACGGACACACGGACGCTGTACTGGATCTGTCCTGGAACAAGCTGGTCAGGTCGGTTTGGCTTTTATTCCTCTGCACCTTTGGAAAAGTCTGTGTTTGAACCTTAAAGTAGAAAATCATCAAAAGTCATATTTCCAGAGTCTGTTCCCTTCATTGTCATTAAATCCTCCAGCTGTGCATTTATTCCTGTTTAGAGTTAAAGCAGAATTACGTTATTAATTACTTGTGGGAAATATTTTTCTCGCAGTGTAACCGTTTCCAGAATATATAGAATATAGCAAAATAAAACCAAAAGGCATTTAGAAAATGAAAGTGCAATATGCTGATGGCCTGTTGCTTTTGATCAGTTATGTAAGAAGTATTTAATACCCCCCAAAAATTTTTTTTTAAATATTTGCAATTAAAAATCTATATGTCATCAAAACTGAAATGAATAGTTGACATTCCACCCTTAACAAAAAAAGAAGCGGTGAGCATTGGGGACTTTTTTTCTGTGTTCTATAATTTGTTGATGATTTCCTCTAATGATTTAGCAATAGATGAATTAGACACTTGGAGAGGAGATGCGTTCAAAGAAATAGATGAATTAAACTGGAATAAGGCATAAATCAAATGATAGACACATGATTTAAACTTAGGCTTCATCATATGTCCAGTGATATTCCAGATACTTGCACTAAATGTTTATCTGAAAAAGGACGTCTTCTCCATTGTCTGTGGGAATGTCTTAAAGTCCAGAGGTTTTGGAAGAGATGTTATTAGGTGTCTATCTGAATTGCTTAAGGTGAAAGTCCAGTTAGAGGTTAAAATCTGTGTTCTAGGAATATATCCAGTAGAATTTAAACAATCGCAGAGGACAACTACATTAATAGACTACAGCAGGGGTAACCAATTAAAAATCAGAATAAAGTCAGAATAAAGAAATCAACTACCAGCAAAGGTCTGGAGACATTTATAATTATAATCTGTTACTTTAAACAAAATTTAACACAGAATTAAAATGAGGTGTTTATGTATCCATGTTATACATTAAATTAAAAAGTAAATAAAAAATAGAAAATTTTTCCATTTTAAAATCTAAAGTGTTGATTGAAGTAGAAAACAACAATCGTTCAGTTTGTTGTAGAGATAATTTCATGATTTCATGATATGAATTTCACATATTTTATAAAACACCTGAACTGACCGGTTTATTTTATTTTCCTTTTTTCTGGCTTAATAAGAGCAGTGGGCTTTATGCTGCCCTGCAAGGTTTTAAACCTGGGTACGAATGGAGACAAAGCCATTCTAAAGCACATACACTGCAAAAAATGAAAATCTAATGAGTAATTTTTATTTGAAATAAGTGCATTTGTTCTTGAATTGAGAAGGTAAGTGAGACACTTTTCCAATGGAACAAGACAATTTAGATTTAAAATAAGAAAACACCATAAGGATCCCAGAAACCCAATTTTCCACATGGAACAAGGTGTTATCTAGATTTATCTGGGCGGGTATTAAACCTAGGGTAAGACTCAGAACACTCCAGTTAGAAAAGGAAAAAGGAGAACTCGCTTTACCTGACCTTAAAAAATACTACTGGGCGGCCCAACTGAGATACGTTGTTTATTGGTGTTCTCCAACATATAGTGCAAAGTGGAAGCAAATCGAATTCAATCTTGGTAAAATACCACCTCCTGCAAAATTGGGGTGTAAAATCTTAACAGATAGTAAAGAGGAGGGAACTATCCTGGGCGAAACTTTGAAAACATGGTATGAGGTCGTTAAGAAAAACAAAATTGAAGGTGATAGTAAATTATTAATATGGCCATCTCAAATGCCCAGTTTTGGCCCCAGTGGGTCAGATGATACATTTATCAGGTGGATGGAGAGGGGAATTACAGCAATATGTACACTCACTGAAGGGAAAATATTCAAATCATTTGAAAAAGTTAAAGAAGAATTCAATCTTGAAAACAGAGACCTATATCGCTACCTACAATTGCGTCACTTTTACGACAAAGAGGTGAACAGGGACCTATCAGAAGGAATTAGTGAGGTGATTATACTCTTGACACGTGCATATGTTGGAACTCCCTCAAAAATGGTATCAAAGTTGTACAATAGTCTCCAAAAATGCGATGGCAGAAATTCATTCCATGTTAAAAAAAAGTGGGAACGAGAATTCAACATTACATTAACTGGGAGTGACTGGTCCTCCATGTGTAAAACACAACAATCTTCAACCAGCTCAAGAAGATGGCGAGAATTTGGATGGAAAAATCTAATTCGTTTCTTTACCACCCCATATATAAAATCAAAACAACTTAGTCAACAACAGAAATGCTTGAGAGGGTGTGGACATGTAGATCCCAATCACTCCCATATCTTTTGGTCATGCATTAAACTGCAGTTATTCTGGAACAGTGTCATTCAGACAGTAGAGGAAATTTTATGCTTATCTATACCCCGAGATCCGAGCTTTGTATACCTAGGACTTATGCCATATGAATTCACTGGAAAAAGAAGACATTTACCTCTGCAAAATATTACTGATTGCTGCCAAAAAGGCATTGACAAGGAATTGGTTGAAATGTGACCCACCTGGGCATGGACAATGGCTGAATATTGTAGACGAACTATACACCATGGAAAATTAGACTTTTCGTCTGAGCCTTAAAGAAGGTGACTTTGAGAAAAAATGGCAGAAGTGGTCTACGTTCAAGGTCAAAACCCAACCATAAGAGGAAAAAATAAATAAAAATAAGCTTTGGAAAATATGGTAATGTATGCTCCCCCCAGCTTGTTTTTTGTTTTTTCTTGTTTTTTCTTTTGTTTTTGTATTATAAAAAAGACTAAATAAAGAGTTGGAAAAAAAAAATAAGAAAACACAATTGCATTGCCTTATTACAAGTGCATATTATCTAATATTCTTATTTTAACTCTGTAATGTCAAATGTATCATATTTGATAGATACGATTTCTGAAATGTTTTGCGTCTGACACCTTTTGCATAATTTAATGGTAAAAACTTTGCTCAAAATCCTATTTTACACATTCAGATATACCTGATAACAGAGGGCAGAAGACTATACAAAAATAATCTTGACTTATCGCATAGTAATAAATTATGTAAAAATGTATTTCTGTTTTTTCTTTTTACATATTTTGTTAAAAGGCTAAATAAGGAATTCTAACCAAAAAAAAGTTATTTTCTGTTTTGTTTTATTCTTGGATCAGCATTAAAGGGTTAAGAGTAAAATACTCATTCCATTGCCAGATCATACCATATACCTACTAAAATTAAGGGTAAATACACTTGATTTAAGACATTTTTACTTATTTCTAGATAATTTTGCAGTGTATCAAGGAGCTAATTTTGAGCCTGGATCCAAATTTATTTTTGTTTATGTTCATGGTGGAGAATCCTGCTTCACAGCAGCAGGTTGAGCCAAACATCCTCTAAATGTGCAGGGTCATCTTTGAGCACCATTTCACTTTTCTTTCACCAGTTCACCACAGTTCTTCCAGCAGTCCACACTTTCTCTGCTCTCTTTTTCTCATCATCTTCTCCTTCTTTCCCATCGCCCGGCTTGCCACAGGTTTGCCTGCTGTGTCTAAAAGTAGCAGCAGCAGCAACCCAGACTGACAGCAGCTCATTGGCTAATTTGTATCATGTATAGCCTTGTCCTGGCGCTCCAGAAGGCTTTACTATAATAACAGGAGAAGCAGCGCAAGTGAAATTAGATACTGCCATCAGACAACAGTAATTTATAAATGTTTTAAATCAGGTTGGGTCCAGATTCTGACCTAGGTCCGCTAATCCATGACCTCTGGACTACAGACTTCTTCAAGCCTTCTTTCCTCCATGGGACTGTGGAGGAAAGAAGTTGCAGTCTCACTCAGACAGGAAAAACTAGCATACATTGCCAGGCAAACAACAGGACTTTGAGAATCTATGGGAGCCATATATGAGGATCATAGGGACTGAAGGTGGAGCTTATTGATGGATGTCTTGACTACAGTTTCTATTCATATATTGCCTTGTCATTTTTCTCTTCCTTAATCTAAAGGGTTTTGTATATTTTTGGAACTGGACAAATGAAGGTTTTAATGCTGAATGCATGAGTGAATGTAAATGTCTATAAGTACACTTTACATGTTAAGTTTGTTTTCTGTAAGTTTGTTGTGTCAAAAAAGAGAAAATTCAAATATTTAATATAACAAGACAGGGTAAAATAAGTAAAACACAACCCTTCCCATATAAACAGTGTAGAATAAGATAGGATCTCAGTGATATAGAATCAAATTTAGAACCTAAATTGCTATTATTTCCCATGGTAGTGTTATTGCACATAGTGAAGTAAGGAAATACATAGATAATATGTAATGAAACTCTTGTAGCAGAGCTGTAGATCTGGATGGAAGCCATTGAAAGTCCTCCTGACGTGTTTTTCATGTTTGAAGGAGCGTGTTGGCCAGCGGCTCTGCAGACGACACCGTCATCCTGTGGGATCTGTCTCAAGGCAAACCGGCCACCACTCTGAGAAGGCATACAGACAAGGTAGCGTGCAATGCTGAAGCATTTAGTGTCCCCCTCCTCACAGTCCACAGCCTGTTAAACTACAGCCTCTCACCTTCCAGGTCCAGACCTTATCCTTTCACCCCTTTGAGGCTCAGACTCTGATATCTGGATCGTACGACAAGTGGGTGTGAAGTGACCCCTGAGCTCAGACTCAGATCTTTGTGACGGTTTAAGATAACCTCAGAGAGTCTCTCTCTCTCTCTCTCTTCCAGGACAGCTGTCCTCTATGACTGCCGGAGTCCAGACAGCAGCTACAGAACCTGGAGGTTTAGCGGCCAAGTGGAGCGACTCGTCTGGAACCATTTCTCTCCCTTCAACTTCCTGGTAAACGCAGGTTCCTCTCAGAACTATTAGGATGTTGCATAAAACAATAATGTCTATTGCAGTCAGTGATATGATAAAGAACGTCTCCACATTCAGTCTGCTGTAAGAAAGTCTTAATTTGAACTCTTTGCGTCAAAGGCGTCGTCTCACAGTTAATCCAGCTGTGGACGTCCTTCACTAGGAGGGTAGGTTACAAGAAAAGATACAGAAGCTGGTTGTGTATCAAAGCATATTCAGAGAAAATTAAGTGGAAGGAGGAGCTGCTACACAATAGAGGTATGAGAAGAGTCATATCTGGACTGAGGATAGAAGGAGCTGGACTGTTTTAGATGGAGGTAAATTCATCTCATTTGGAGCCAAATGATGGAAGATCATCGAGGCACAGAGTAGTTCTGAAGGGGAGTTTTTCCACTGTGATGGTTTGAGGTGTTTGTCCACTGTGTTCTGATCCACAGTCGGCGATCCAGGAGATTATGGAGAACTTTGTGCTTCCCTCTGCTGACAAGCTGTAAGGAGAGTCTGGTTTCATTTTCCACACTCCAACGAGGCTGGATCAGTGACCGTAATCCGATCCGATACTCTGATGGGAATCCAGCGTTCCGATCCTCTGTACTGCACAGCAGTAGTTACAGCAATAGAAGGATGTCAGTTTTATGACTGCAGTGCTAAACGGTTGATTCATTCAACAGTAGGATCGTATCAGTATCAGATATCAGTGAATACGCTCGGCCCATATGTCGGTGTCAGATTCAGAAAATGGATCGGTGCATGTCTACCTGGTGATCCTGTACCTGAACCCCAGAGTGCTGATGAAGGTTCTCAGTCATCCAGGTCATAGTCACTGAACCCCAGAGAAAACCTTGAGGGCTGCTGCACAGATGATCAAAGCAATGGTCTCCAGTGTTCATGCAAATGGGGACATTTTCAGATTTTTAGTTCCTCTGATGTTTTATTGTCATTTCCTGAGACACTGAATTGTAGTTTTCTTTACCTGCAGCTGAACTCATCAGAATTAAAAAAAGCTGGAAATATATTTGGTCTTAACTAGGGCTGGGCGATATAGAAAAAAAAGCTTATCGATAAAAAAAAATGCATATTGATCGATATCGATAATTATTGAAAAGATTTGAAACCATATTTTATGTGCAGCTCTGCCTGGACTTTTTATAATATTGCTAAATGATTTAATTTTAATAAAAAACACAAACACAGACTTCGAATTAAATCTTTATTTAACCAACTTTTTTAACCATAACAGAATTGTTTTAAAGAAAAATAACTTAAGAGACCTGAGTTATGTTATTAAATACTGACAAAGAATAAACTAAAGTGACCAGAAAAGTGACTAAAATGAATATAACAAATAAATAAATGCCCCCCCACCGCCGCCGCCCCCGTTTCCTGCTTTAACCTGAGTTTTTACTTTGAAGTTTCTGGCCCCTCGGCATTTTTATCTCAATTGTTAGAACTACGTGAGAAACTGCCCAGAACTGAAAATATATTTATATTTTCCGAAGATTCCTCGGAGGAGAGCCGCGCCGGGGCCTACACAGCTCGTACTCCTGCGGCTGTGAGCGGCTGAGATGATAAAAAAAAGTTGGTTTCGTTATCAGACTGGTTTTCACTGGTTTCCTACACATTTTCCAGATGACTGTGGTTTGTTTTTGGTCCGACTTGCCATGACCGAAATACTGCCAGACTGCCGAACTACAAAAACCCTTCTTTGGAACAATTTCCTCCGCCTCTCCTTGCTGCGACATCTTCATGTGCTCTGTGTTGTGGTTTGAGAGGGCGGCGCTTGGTGACGGCGATTGTGATTGGTTGGGAGGAAGCAGTGACTAGCATAAACCTACATGCTAGGCTACAATGAGAAGGAAGGAAAACAGCGTTTCTTTTTTATCAAACTTTTATCGACACTGTTTTTTTCTATTGCGCCACACGTCTATCGATCGATATATATCGTTATTGAATTATCGCCCAGCCCTAGTCTTAACTATAAAGCTTGATAAAGCTTCTAGTTAGAGTGGCTCAGGTTATCCTGAGCTATCTCTATAGTTATGCTGCTATAGGCTTAGACTGATGGAGGACATAGGGACCCCTATTTCATCATTTGCGTCATTCTATCTCTATTGTCCCACTCTGCAGAATCTGTTAGTTCGATTTCTAGTGTTCTGCTCTCTGCTTTTTCTCAGAGTAGCTTCATCTGGTCTGTTCCTGTTTGGCTGTGACTCCATTTGGCTGTGCTGCTGCCATCAACACCTTTGTTTATGGATGTTGGACATTGCCTGTTTTTCAGTGTAGTCCTGTTTCTCTGACTGTGACTAACTGGATGTTCCAGTTGCTTTTTGTATCTCTGCTTCTGTCTCCTTGAACCCCAGTCGGCCTCAGCAGATGGCCGCTCACACTGAGCCTGGTTCTGCTGGAGGTTTCTTCCTGTTAAAGGGAGTTTTTCCTCTCCACTGTCGCTACAAGCATGCTTAGTGTGTGGGATTGCCTTCGAGTCATTGAGTCGATGCAATCAACTGGTTTCCCTTAGATAGAAAACTTGACTGTATGATCTGGTGAACTGTAAAGTGATTTGTAATGACGTGTTGTGAATTGGCGTTATATAAATCAACTGAATTGAACTGAACTGTGATCAATGTATGAAATAAGTGGCAGAAATATTGGACTTTTAGTCAGTATTCCTTTTTTTAGATGCTCTGAGCTTCATGTCTGTGTGTGTTTCAGGCTAGCACTGAGGACGGCTTCGTCTACTGTCTGGACGCCCGCTCCGATAAACCGCTGTTCAGTCTGAAGGCGCATGACGAAGAAGTGTCAGGTGGGTGGGGCGTCTCCCATCGACCTCCTGTCCGTCCGCCTCGGCCGTTGTTGGATTCACTGTTCTGTTTTTCACTGCAGGTTTGGACCTGAGCAGCCAGATCAAAGGATGTCTGGTCACCTCCTCTGCTGACAAACACGTAAAGATTTGGGACATTTTAGGCAACAAACCCAGCCTGGTCCACTCTCGGGATATGAAAATGGTGAGGAATGGCTCTGCGTGTATTCAGCTCCCTCTGGGGGCGCAGACGCCGTCCCTCCGGCCTGATCTGATGAATTCTTCATTAACGTATTAAACCTATTCACTTTAGAGGAAGTGGATGAATGAAGGGATCTGCATTAGAATTTCAGCCTTTCTTGTGTAGATTTTTCTATTGAAACTCTTAAATAATCCCTTTTATGTGAATCGGGTGCATTAATGTTAGGTTTACGATGTGTGTCTGATGTTTGGTGGTGAATCCCCTCATTCATTGTGTTCTGTAAACAGGGGATTCTGTTCTGTGCCTCCTGTTGCCCTGATCTGCCCTTCGTCTACGCCTTCGGAGGCCAGAGGGAAGGCCTGCGCGTTTGGGACATAAGCGAAGTTGCAGCAGGTTTTTACATTTTTTTTATTGGATTTAAAACCCGTATCTGTTTTCGTCCTTTCTCTCCTAACATAACTTCTATGTTTGCTTTTAGTGAGCGAGGTGTTCGGCAACCGAGAGCGCATGGCGGTGAACTCTGGGAGCCAGGCCTCCACGTCTGCAGCCTCAGCAGACATGGAGGTCTCCTAGTGACCCTCAGATCTAGCTGTAAAGATGAGTTACCATGGAAACCAAGCAAGCTTCCTGGTTGTGTTCGGTTGAGGGAAGGATTGAACCGGAGAAGAAAGACTGGAGCAAAAACCTCTTCATGAAATGCAAAAACAAAGTAATTTATTCTGAGGAGGCAGGATTGATATTTTTCTAGCTTTGCTGAAGGGGTGAATATTTCCTCTGATCTTTCAGTTTGCCTTTGATTACATTAAACATGAAACTCTTCTGATAACATGAAAGAAATAAATAATTGGATGTTGTATAGTAAATAGAGTCACTTTCTACCAACAGGAAAACAAATCGTCAAAATGTCCGGTTTTTTATAAATAAATTGGTGATTAACCCGGCTTATATATATATATATATATATATATATATATATATATATATATATATATATATATATATATATATATATATATATATATATATACGGTATATATATATATATACCATTTTTATTTTTTTGGCTGGCATCGGACTAATATTGGATCAGGACATCCCAACTGAAAACACTGACTTAGGACATTCCACTTGAGTATCACTGCTGCCCCCCTCTGGCCGAGAGGGGAACAGGTGCATTACGTCCTCATAGAAACAAATCCTGGTAGGCAGGGCCGGAGCCACGGGGTGGCTATGATTAGTTGCTCCCAATGTTGGTTCTGTTCGAATTCATGGGCTGCATCCTGCAAAGGCCAGATTCCAACGCCGATTAGGTCATAGCGTGGCGCTGAGGTCTGGTCGGATTCCAAGACTCCTCGCAGTGTTGTAGTAGTCTACTCGAGATCGGTCTTGGTCTCAAGACCATTTTTTGATGGTCTCGGGCGCTGAGGACTCGGCATTTTATTTCAAGACCACAACTGTGGAAATAACACTAATCATCAGAATATTAACAGTTTCTTTAAGATCCTTCTTTTTATTGGATGCTTGGATTCAAATCCAAGCAATAACCTGTCTCATTAGTAAATGCAGTGAAGGAGATCAATCTATTTTTTCAACAAATTATCTGTCTCATGCCATATTTCACAACTTGGTGACAGATATAGATTTATTTAAGAAAAGTTATATAATATAGCTTTAATCCGTATATGAGAGAGAAACAAGAGAAATGATTGGCTTTTTTTTCAGTTTTACACATTTTTCAGTATTTTGCACATTGATTTGAAATAGCACATTTAAAAACAACATAAATGTATGTACTGTTCATGAACGGCAGAGAAAATACAATTTTGATCGACTTTGATTAATTGTTTGAAATTCTGTGATTACTACACAGAAGTACTAAATTCAATTCAGTTTATTTATATAGCGCCAAATTCACAACACATGTCATCTCAAGGCACTTTACAGTTCAACCAGATCATACAGTCAAATTGATACAAAGTTTTCTATCTAAGGAAAACCAGTTGATTGCATTGACTCATTGACTCAAATACAATCCCCCACACTAAGCATGCTTGTAGCGACAGTGGAGAGGAAAAACTCCCTTTTAACAGGAAGAAACCTCCAGCAGAACCAGGCTCAGTGTGAGCGGCCATCTGCCGAGGCCGACTGGGGTTCAAGGAGACAGAAACAGAGATACAAAAAGCAGCTGTAAAAGGCGGCCCCGTCCAGGAAACACACAGCCAGGCAGACGAGCTCCAAGGCAGCTCCCATGCCAGAGGACGAAGAGAGCACATCCACTCAGTCACGGCCAGAGAAACAGGACCACACTGGAAAACAGGCCGATCTCCAACAACTATAAACAAGGGTGTTGATGGAAGCAGCACAGCTGATGTTTCTTTCCAGGATGACGTCACAGCCAAACAGGAACAGACGAGGCAAAGCTACTCTGAGGAAAAGCAGAGAGAGCAGAAGGTTAGAGATTGAACTAACAGATTCTGCAGAATAGGAGAACAGAGAGAGAATGAAGCAGAATGATGAAATGGGGGTCCCTATGTCCTCCAAAAGTCTAAGCCTATAGCAGCATAACTATAGAGATAGCTCAGGATAACCTGAGCCACCCTAACTATAAGCTTTATCAAAAAGGAAAGTTTTAAGCCTAGCCTTAAAAGTAGACAAATAAAGATGTTAATGTTTAGTCCAGTTCTGTGTGTTAAATATCTAGGTGTTTTTATGTGAATGTGGGTCTTTTAGATCAATTTTTGTGATTTTGATCATGTTTCACATTTTTTGTCACATACTGGCGCTGGTCTCGACTTCCCTCGGTCTTGGTCTTGACTTGGTCTCTGACCCTAAAAGTCTTGGTCTTGTCTCGGTCTCGATACACTCTGGTCTTGGTCTTGACCACAACACTGACTCCTCGTTATGCGGCCTTAAAATGCATCCTTCTTTTTGCCCGATTTGAAGGATGGGTCCTGTGTATCCTACGTAGCCTTGGATGTCCCAGGATTCATAGTGAGACCTGGCAAGTCAGCTGCTCCGTGATTAGAGGAAAGGTTACTTGGCGCCAAACTGCTGTAAATATTGGAAGTTCAGTTTAATATAATCCAAGCATGTGAATAGTTCCGTCTGAAATGAATGAAAATAGTTGTTTTAATGGTTATAGAGTCAGATATGTGGCGGTAATGTTTAATTTATCTAAAGGTTTTTATCTAAATGGGTTTCACTAATATAAGACAGATTTGAATATACGTATCTGCAGTGTGGGGACTATAAATCTGATAGGAGTTTTAGTTAAGAGATTCTGCATACCGTATATATTTTTTTATACATACATTGTTTAGATTTACTTTTATCTTTCTACCCCTTTTATAGAATAGAATAGAAAATCCCTTTATTGTCCCACAATGAGGAAATTCTGGTGTTAACAGAGGCAAAAAGATTACAGTGGACCTCAGAAAAATGTATAAGAATAACAATAAATTATTATACTGTAAAGTGTTTAAACAATATAAAACTGTGCACCTGGAGAATAAATAACCATTATACAGCATTTTTACAGTGATGGATATTTGAAAATAGGAGCAACATCAGAGATGTGCAAAATGACAGCAGCATCTTATTTACTCAAGGTTTCCATCATTACATATGCTTTTAGACTAAGCTTGGTAGGCAGGGCCGGAGCCACGGGGTGGCCATGATTAGTTGCTCCCAACTTTATCACATCCTGAAATCGCGTTTCTCCTCTAAACCACAAGGTGGCAGCAGTGATACTGAAGTGGAATGTCTTAAAGGTATAGTAGAGGATTTTCTTTTTCCAGGTGGATCATCAAAATAAGAAGCCTGACGTAGTCCTACTCAATTCTAGTCAGAATATGAGTCTGATACTGCTCCATAGAGCTGTGATTATGGGGCGTGTTTTGAATGAACCAGGAAAAAAAATGCCTCTGCACTCAATTGGATAGACCTACAACCAATAAGAGCAACGAATGCGTAACGTATGTTAAGCAACAAAGGGAGCCAGCTGATAAATTAAACTTTTGCCGAATCCCGTAGGAAGGACGCCAAAAACATCTTTCTTTTCAACAAATGCTTTGATCGCGTTTCTCTGTTCCTCTTTTAAAATTAATTTGCTGTTGATATTTTCTAGAACAGACCTAATAGCAGAATCTACACACCTCAACTCTCCAGCGGCAGCCATTGTTGTTGTCACCCAAGCGTGCTTTGGTGACGTGGTTGATTACGTTACTGTTGATCATCTGTCCATCATCGTATAAAGCCCGCCCTGACAATTTGATTGGCACGACCAGATATTGAGCGAGCATACTCGCGCTACTATTGAGCAATGCCAAACCGAACTTCACGACCTCAAACGTTGTGGGCGGGACTAAGTTCGGAATGGCACCCAGGCTACAAAATAAGTGGTCTTCCTAATTATCATCATTCTGCTGACATGTTTGTTGTAAAACTGTCCTATGTGCTCTTCCCCATTTTCACTTACCGCTGGTGAGTCTGACATAGTGAAAGAATGCAAATCTGCTTTTGCAAAGTAAGCTTGTATGAGCAATGCACGCGGTAAATTTTAAACAGAGCTTGCACAAGGAGAAGTGGGCTCTCACATTCGTTTATTAGGCGTTCCCTCTCGGGAGCGGGCACAGGGCTGTGCATGTGCAGTTTTTTTTTTTTAAGTGGAGAGGACAGGTCCTTTCAAAAATTCATGAAAATCCTCCACAGTACCTTTAACTAATTCAATATTATTTTAGTTTATCTAACATAAACTCACAACAAAAAAATAGTTAAATTAATTCTGATTCTTTTTTGGATTACTCAAGTTATTTAGATTTGGTATAACATGAGGGGAAGTCGCATGTCTGTAAGTCGCATGTAGGAGTCGTCTCTGTAACTAGATATAAAGATCAACTGCTCAACCGATTAGCTGAGTCAATTATGGAGAACCCTTAATGCTCAATTAAGACAGAATATTTGCATTTATAATATGTGGATTTATCAACAGGGATTGCCTTCCGGTCAATGAGTCGATGAAATCAACTGGTTTTCCTAGGATAAAAAAATTTGATCAATTTGACTGGATGATCTGGTGAACTGTAAAGTGCCTTGAGATGACATGTTATGAATTGGCGCTATAGAAATAAACTGAATAGAAATGAATCGAAGAGTAATTTTAATATAAGTATAACCTTAATAGTACCTGAATGAATTTGTGTCGCTACGATTTTAAAGATATTAAAGAAACTTTGCAGAGGTCACCAAAGGTCAACGACAAATGTTGATTTCTGCTGCTTTTGTGTTAAAGTTTTGTGTTAACTTTAAAGGTCGAACATTTTGAAATGTTCTCAATAGATTTATCACGGAACGCTATGGACAGCGGAAACATGCAGGAGGAGAGTTTTGTGTTGGAGGTCATGGTTGAGTCTCCTTTCTCATTTAATGACTTAATTACTCAAGTTATTATTATCATGGGGGGGAATGGAGCGTCTGTAAGTCGCATGTAGGAGTCGCCTCTGTAATTAGATATAAAGATCAACTGCTCAGTCCATTAGCTGAGTCAAATATGGAGAACCATTAATGCTCAATTAAGACAGAATATATGCATGTATAATATGTGGATTTATCAACAGGAGCTTGATAAAAATCCAGTCTGTGTTTAGTGTCGAGTTTAGAAAATACAGATATTTTCCTGTTTTTCCAAAAAGTAAAAATAAACAATCCACTGGACTTTGTTTCCAAGTTTGAAGACGTTTCGCTCTTTAAACTTAGACCTTTGTAGAACTCTAACCCTGAGCCTTCTTCATCACAACAATGATGGTCGTTTGATGAATCTCATGTTCAACATGGAAACATTATAAGGAAACCTAAAGCAGTGTAGGATCCAAACTGGATGCTTCCTGCAGTTTTCATATACGGTAATTAACTAATTCATTGGGTAGGTTATCAGTAACTGTGCTCCTTTTACTCG